AATAAATTACATGCTTAGCGGACAACCACAACTCGGCAGAAACCTCCAGTCACTCGTCTGGGGTGAGGAGGAGGTCGCTACATACAGAAAATCCAACACCAGGGGAGGGGGTTTGTGATCGGCAGCGAGACTCGTGAATTCCTGCTGCTGGGAGAGAGATGTTGAAGCTGCTTCTCTCTGAATAAATGGCTTGGCACCCACTCCAGGGAGAGGCAGACAAATTTCAGCAGCTCGCTCGCAAAATAAAAGCGGAACCTGCACTTCCGCGGTAGCTGAAGAAATGACATATTAAAAAAAGCTCCCAAATTCATTTTAACAGTCTCCCGCGGCTGAATGGCAACTTTTAAGGAGGGATTGCTTTCTGCTCGAGGAAGGCTCGCTAGCTGCAACCGCAGCCAGGGAATTTCTAGCAGCAAAACCCTCTCACAGCTCAGCTAAGCAAAGCGCTATCAGGAGAGCAAGACTTTGATTTCACCTTCCACGAAGAAAGATGCACGCAACAAAAGCAGAAATTCTTCTACAGATCTAAAAAAAAAAAACAAACTCGGGAGATTTGGTATTGAAGAAGCAACTGGAGCACACTGTTTCAGGAACATTCCTTTAAAATAAAACAAGACTTTATTGCGTGAAAACTACCCTTGACTTGCACAGTTCTGCACTAGTCAGCAGCAACTGTAAAACTTGAGCTCACCTGCACTTTCCCAGAGCATCCCCCTGACAGTGCAGCCACGGCTGGAAGAAGATGAAACGATGATGTCCCAGCATATTACCTGACGGAAAGCGATCTCAAAGAATACACACTGGATACGCCGGCTTTTGGCCTTCATACAGCAACTTCACAGCATGAGGTGACAGCTCATTTTTCTGTGGTTAAAAGCAGCTGGAGTTAACAGCTAACCTCCTGCTCTCTGGCTGAAACAGCATCACCAGGCAAAGGGCACAAACTCAGCACGCAAGTCTGGAAAGGGTTTTGCCAAATATTCCACCATCTGCCTTAAAACACCAGTGCTGAGGTCAAACCTTAAAACTTAAAGGCTCTCCAGGCACTGCTGCAGAGAGGTGATGAGTTTCAGGATACACAGGGCAGGGTAAATCCTTGATCATGAACATAGGAAATAGGAGGAGGGCTGGACGAAAAGCACGTGCGCTTTAGTAAGTGACTCTAAGGAGAGCCCTGCGCTGTAGGGACAGTCAGAAGAAATTATTAAACAAGCAAGGATTAAGGATACGACTTGACACACCAGAATGAGAAAACTACAGAGCACAAGACAGCTTTTCTGGGAACCCGACAGGCAGAAACAGAGGCGTTTCAATCCTCCTGCAGCTCCCAATTGCTGAACTCATCAGTCCACCAACCTCAGAGCCACGAAGTCGGATTCAAGGTCTCTTTCCGAAGGAAGAGACCAGGAAAAGCTGCTGGAACAGTTACGTGTGAATCCCTAAATTTGAAACAGACACTTCCAGAGTGGCTCAAACCCAACAGCGGTCTCATTCCCAGCTTGCAGGCCAACACTGCTTATGTGCAGAAAAGCACATGCAGATGTTAAGAGACAGACGAAAATCTGAACTGGGACCTTACTTTGCATCCTGTTTGAATTAGGAGAGAATGCATCTACGCGACCAACTGGAAAACTTTCTTCTTCAGAGTTGACTTTTTCCTTTCCAGCTCATTTCTAACTCGCTCTTCAAGATTTGGCAGAGTCCAGGGAAGGCAGGTGTCCTGAAGAAAGCCAATATTGAGTTCTTATCTAAAACGCATTTATAAAATAAGTCGAATCCGCTACATTTTAAGCACAATTTACATTCATAACGCATCAGCAAATCCTCACACTACCATCCCTTGATGGGCGTTAAGTAAAAGTATCCTATAAAAACATGGAAATATGGAACATTCTGGGTAATAAAAGGAATGATGTGGCTATGTGGTACTTCTTCACCATCTCCCCAGTTCTGTTATCAGCTCAGACAACCAACAGTGGAGGACTACGAAGTGCCTGTGACCTCCCCTTGTTCCAACAGTGCATTCAAGTCATCCTACTCTGTCTCAAAGATGCCTTCAGGCACTGACCCCTCCACACCCAGAAGCGATTTTCGCTCTTGGTCAAGCATGAAAGAGACACACTGCTGATTCTGCCTGGAATCCTACAAAAAAAAAAAAAAAAAAAAAAGGATTTTAGCTTTGGCTGCAGCTACCACAAATATCTTAATAATCCCCGCAACAAGGCCAACTCTTGGCTCTTGTGAGAAACCCCAGCTTTTGATGAGCGCTCATTTCATCACGATTCTAGTGAAAAAACCTACTGCGAGCCCAAAAAGCCACATTTTTGCACCTCCAGATGACTGCACCAGTGAAAACCCTTGTAATGGGCATCCAGGACACACAAAAGCTCAGGCGACAGCGTGGTGGGCATAGGACAACTCAGCCAGCCCTGCTCTGGAGTGCGTTTGAGATGCCAAAAGCCCACCATGAGGGTCTTTACCAATGAGTGCGAGACACGGCTGGCGTTGAACAGCTGTTCTTCACCCGGCAGAGAGCCTGAGGACAGGGCCAACCTGCAAACGAGTACAGGTACAGGACAGCACATTGATGGAAAGCTGACAGCTCCCAGCCAGATCTTTCAACCAGATGTTACAGTACTGAAGAGGAGTCCTCACCGACATATTCCACATCGATCCAGAAACATCTAACATGTTTGTCATGAGCTGCTCTTGGAGCCATTGCAAGGTGATAAATAGAAGCCTTGTGATCTTTTATTCCCTCTACGCTGTTTGATAGGTAAGTGATGTGTGGTTTCTTTCAAGCTTGAACATTTTATGGGCAAAGCTGCACTCAAGCATCACTTATTAAGGGAAAGGGGGAGAACTCCTCCTCTGCAAGAAGCTCATGAACTCCTGGGAAGATGGGATCTTCCAGCAGTCACCAAAACGCTCACTCTGGCCCCAAAGCAGACACAACCCGTGACCAGCTCCATCCAAAAGCATCATCTGAACCTGAACAGCCAGTTCTGGGCTGCTTTAATGGGAAGACTTCTCACAACCATGCTCAGCATCCTCCAAAGCACTACTGGTTGCAGAGCCTGCAGCCAAAACTGGGGTAGCGGTCCTCTACAGCTGCTGCATAAACTCCCACCACAACCCAAAACCATCGGAGCCTTGCCGACAAACTTCTCCATCATGCATCAGCCTCTGGCAAAGCCCAAAGTTTCACAGAAGTGATTTATGCAACAAGCACCTTGAAAGCCACTGACAAAACAAGGTTGCAAAGAGGTTTTGCGGTACAGCAATATTCCTCTCAAAAAATATTTAGATGCATTCAAGGGAAATAAATCCCTGAGCCAAAACTACCCAGAGGTAATGAGATGACACGAGGGAAACACACTGAGAAACTAAAACAGCTATAGGAAGGGGGATCACTTTGTTTTGACCACCTACTTTCAGGGATGAAGGCTGTTCTAATTAACAGGGTTTGAAGGGTGAGTCTCCCACTTATTCCCAAGCATCCTCGATACTGCAGAATCCCTTATTTCACATATTTTTCAAATCAAAGGCAGCCTGGGTGTATATACCTGGAGATTCCCAGCCTGGCTGCACTGTCACAGCTGTATTTAACAGAAGAGAAGCAAACAGCCTCGCTGAGTCCTAGCGATAACAAGATGTTACTTTTTTTAATCAATTGGCATTTTAAGCAGCTGCACAGGCAGTCTAATGGGTCATGAAAAGGGAAAAGAAAAGCTGAAGGGAGCTCAGTGCATTTAATTGGCCCTTCCAAGCTTCATTCGTGTTTATAAACTGAAAACCCATAGCAATTCCCACCCCATCCACAGTCCCTCCAAATATCTCCTCTTTGTACAAGTGGGACACGTGGATCAGCTGCTCCCAAGTCGGACACCAACCCCAGCTTTTCCCTTTTCCTCAGGGAATGATGGAATTGGAAAGATTCCTCTTTAAAACTTGCCACCAGAAGAAACGCAGCTCAATTATTAAAGAGGTTTCTGAGACTGCTGTGAGCCAGGGGAAGACGTTGTACCCTGTAAAGCAGCTCCAAAGGAAAAGAGGGAGCCGTGAGCGCAAGAGGGTAACCAGAGCCCGGGCTGCCCCTCATTACTGGAGCAACTGGGAGCCCCCTTTTCCCATGGGGGCTTCAAGGAGCTGGTAGTGCCACCCCCTCACAGACAGAAGATGCTGGAGGACACGTAAGGGGACTGAGTCAACCCACTCAGTACCCACCAAAGCAATCCAGGGGATGCAGCACCCCAAAAACCCCAGGGAAAAGGATGGTGCTGGGGGCTGGCCATGCAAGGGGACCTGAACTGCTGGGACACTGTGTTCTCCCCCACACTGAGGGGCCAGAAGATGCTGCCCCAGCCCACTCACGTGGGGGGAAGCGAGTGGCTGAACCCGAAGGACGCCGTGTCCAGGTATTAAAGATGCTGCTGGAGGCTGTAGGTGTGAGGGCTGAACCCCCCAGGACATGGCCCAGCTGGGTGCTGTGGGGAGCCAGGCAGCTGAGTCCGCAGGATGGGGTGCCTCGCACCCAGGGGCTGGGCTGAGACCAAGGGACACCCACAGCCAAGGCCAACAGATGCTGCGGAAAACTGCCTGCGTGGGGAGACCCTGATGGAGTGATCCCAGGGAAGAGGGTGCCTTGCACCCAGGAGGGAAGGATGCTCTGGAAAACTGCCTGCGCGGGAAGACCCTGATGGAGTGATCCCAGGGGCTGCAGCACCCCCCACACTCGAGACTAAAGGATGGACCTACAGCCAGGGCCAGAAGATGCTCCAGAAAACTGCCTGTATAGGGAGAGCCTAGGGTACACAGTGCCCCCCCAGAGCCAGAGGATGAGCCGAGCCCCGGGGTCGCCCACAAACCAGGATGCTGGGGAGAACGGCTGGCACGGGGAGACCTTGAGGGGCGATCCCACGGGCGGGCAGGAGCCCGGGGACACCCGGGCTGTTTTCCCCCCACCCCTCCCCGGGGACGAGCCGCCCGCCCCGCCGTACCTTGATGCGCTCCCGGCACTGCGAGGGGGTGCGCTCGTAGCCCAGCTCGGCCAGGGCGCGGGAGACGCGCTCGTACATGGCGGGGCCGGGGGCTTTGCTGCCGAAAACGGTGCCGGCGCCCTCCAGCTGCTGGTACCGCGCCTCCACCAGCCGCTCGTTGCCCCAGACGGCGATCAGCGCGTTGGTCTCCGCCGGCGTCCAGGACATCCCCCGGCAAGCGGCGGCTGCGGCGGCGGCGGCGGCGCCGCCCGGGGAGAAGGAGACGGAAGGCGAGGCCCCGCCGCGGCCCCCCGCCCCGCCGCCCCCCAGCCCGGCCCCGCCGGCCGCCGGCCCCGGGCCGAGGGGAGAGGCGCCGCTGGGGGTGGAGGGGTCGGAGAGGCTGGGGTTGCCGTCGCTCAGCGCTCCCGGCGAGCCCGGCGACAGCACCTCCATCTTGGGGATCTTCAGCGGCGGCTCGGCGGCCGGGAGCTGCGAGGAGCCGCAGGACGCCGCCATATTGAAGATGCCGGACCGAGCGGGCGGAAGTGACGCGGAGCTCCCCCCCTCCCTCCCAACACCGGAGGGAGGGACTTCCGGCTGCCCCGAGGCGGCGGGAGGGGGGGGGCGGCGCTTGCCACAGCCCGGGGGGGCGTGGTCACGGCAGAGGGGGGCGTGTCTCGGCGGGAAGGGGGCGTGTCACGCCGGACCAGCGGCGGGGCGTGCCTCCAAGGGGAGGGGTGTGGACGCCGGGGGGGCGGGGCTTAACATGAGTGGGCGTGGCCAGAGCTGTGGGGGCGTGGCTTGTTAGTAGTGTGGTGTGTCCGTGCAGGGGGCGTGGCTCCGACGAGGGGGCGTGGCTCCGGGCAGGGCCGCCACAGACCCCAGAGGGGCAGGGGCCCCATAGCGTAGAAGCGCTACAGGACAGAGACCCGCCCTGGGGACAGCGGCACCCCAAACTCTTCGTAACCGAGGCTGAGCACCCCCCAGATGTGGGGGCGAGCACCCCCAGAACCATGGCTGAGCATCCCCTAGCACTGTGGGTAAGCAACCTGCAAACGTGGGGGCTGAGCACCCCCCAAACATTGGGTCTGAGTGTCCCCCAGCACCAGGGCTGAGCACCCCCCAGATATCAGGGCCAAGCACCCCCAAGACTTTGGGGCTGAGCTTCTCCCAGCATCGGGGTTAAGCATCCCCCCATTTCTCAGGGCTGAGCCTCCCCCACATATTTGGGCTGAGGATCCTCCAGATATTGGGGCTGAGTACCCCTAAACATCAGGGCTCTCCTCATTTTGGGGGGACCAGGGGCTGGAGGAGGCCCCCGCCAGTTGCTGCCCCCCAACCCCACTGCTGCCTGCAGCACAAAATGCCCCCGCGTCTGCGCTGCGGCCCCTCGCCTGCCGGGATCCTAATTAACAGGGTTGGGACCAGAGGGGGCCCTTGATTGATGAGCTCGGGGGGCAGCTAACGAAGGGGAGCGGGGGGCTGGCCCAGCTCTGCTGGTAGGGGGCCCAGCACCCCAGCTGCGCCCCAAACTCTTCGTTAAACCAAGCGTCGATGAGATTTGGCCTCACCGGATTCCCCAAATACCTCCCCTCACTCCCATCCAAGGGGGGATGGTTTGGGGCGGGTTGTTTATGGGGTCCCCCCCAGGATTGGCATTGCCCGCCCGGGGTTGTTAATTAAACGCTTTGATTAGGGCTGTGTTGGTTAAACAAATGTGTGTGTGTGAGGGGGGGTGTGTGTGGAAAGGGCAGGATTATGGGGAGCTGCCTGCTGCACCACATCTGGCAGGAGATCGGCCCGGGAGCAATCAGGGGCCGTAATTATCCCCTTCTAATTACGGGGATTAGGGCTGGCGGCCGTGAGAGGCTGCGGCTGCGGGTTGCGGGGGAGGGACACATTAACCCCCCCCCTTTACCGGGTGGGGGGTGCAGGGACGGCAGCCTCTTTGTCACCGGCTGCCTGTCCCCAGAGGGATGTCCCAAACACCAGCCCTGTGTGTCCCCAAAGGGATGTCCCCCACTGCCACCCCTGTGACATGTCCCCAAAGGGATGTCCCCACTGCTGGGGTGTCCCCAGAGGGATGTCCCCACTGCCAGCCCTGCAGGGTGTCCCCAAAGGGATGCACCCACTTCTGGGGTGTCCCCAAAGGCACATCCCCACTGCCACTCCTGTGACATGTCCCCAAAGGGATGCACCCACTACTGGGGTGTCCCCAAAGGGACGTTCCCCACTGCCAGCCCTGTGACATGTCCCCAGAAGGATGCACCCACTGCCAGCCCTGTGACATGTCCCCAAAGGGATGTCCCCACTGCTGGGGTGTCCCCAAAGGCACATCCCCACTGCCACTCCTGTGACATGTCCCCAAAGGGACGTCCTCACTGCCAGCCCTGTGACATGTCCCCAAAAGGATGCACCCACTGCCAGCCCTGTGACATGTTCCCAAAGGGATGTCCCCACTGCTGGGGTGTCCCCAAAGGGACGTCTCCACTGCCACTCCTGTGACATGTCCCCAAAGGGATGCACCCACTACTGGGGTGTCCCCAAAGGCACGTTCCCCACTGCCAGCCCTTTGACATGTCCCCAAAGGGACGTCCTCACTGCCAGCCCTGTGACATGTCCCCAAAGGGATGCACCCACTGCTGGGGTGTCCCCAAAGGCACATCCCCACTGCCATTCCTGTGACATGTCCCCAAAGGGATGTCCCTGCTGCCACCATATCCCCAAAGGGACGCACCCACTGCCACTGCGTCCCCAAAGGGCTGCACCCACTGCCAGCCTTGCCAGATGTCCCCAAAGCAGGTCCCTAAAGGGATGTCCCTGCCGCTGCTGTGTCCTCGAAGGGACATTCCCACTGCCAGTGTCCCCACAGCCAGCTGCCCACGGGGATGCACCCACTGACAGCCCTGCCAGCATGTCCCCAAGACCTGGGGGGGCCACCAGCCCCTTCCCCCCACCCCCCATCTCCCCAGTGCCGTATGGAAACACCCCTGCCCAGGAGCTAATCAGGCCCCAATTAGAGGGGCTCACCGTAAGCCAGGGGAGGAATGCAAATGAGGTTAACGGTTAATTAGGGATTGAAAAATTCATTATTCCTTTAGAGCAGCTGATTGCGATGCAGCCCCGCATCCCCATTAGGGCCATTTGACCGCTTGCTAATGACACGGCGGTGGGGGGCTCGTGGGTTCCCCCCAGCCCGCTGAATGCCTCCAAGGGTCATTCCTGTAGGGGCTTGTGCCTGTCCTCAGTCCCTCCTCGGTAGGTCGCTTCGAGCAAGGAGTTGCGGCTGTTCTCAGCCAAGATCCCTCCGTGCAATGGATTGTGGCTGTTCTCAGCCAGGGTTCACCTGTGCAATGAGTTCTCAGCTGGGATCACCCTGTGCCATGAGCTGTGGCCCTTCTCAGTCAGGGCTCACCCATGCAACGAATTGTGGCTGTCCTCAGCTCCAGAGAGACATGCGGGTGGTGGGATGAGCAGCTTGAGGCAACGTTGGGGAAACTCTGCTCTCCAGTGCTGCCCCACTGCCTCTCTCCAGCCTTCTGATTCAATAAAGATAGTTAACAATTACCCAAAAAGCCAAGCAGACAAGTCATTAGATATAAACTAGTGTTTACAGCAATTTACTGACCCCTTCATAAATAACCTCCCATCACCAAAAGGCACCACCAAAAAGAAATATAAACTTACTAACAGCGACAGTGGCTAATTAAAGCCAAAGATCTATTCATCCCGAGACGTGGCCGTGGGCAGGAAGCTGCGGTGACTGATGAAAGGCAAGAAAAGATGCTCGTGCAATATTTAGGAGGATGCGGGGACGCTGAGCGAGGCAGCGCCCTGCTGCCACGCCCTGGTACCCACCAGCATCCTTAGGGGCTGCATCCCTTATCCAGCTGCCCTGCCTGCTGCACAAAGAGGACCCAGGCGGGCTAATTCGGCGTGGGGAATATCGTCACGCCCCTGCCTTTGTCTCCCTTTCAAAGCCAATATCCCGGCCCCAGATGGGTTAATACATAATGCAGACAAGCAAGTAATTGCTTGCTTTTGTAGGGCCGTCAGCGCTGGGTCCCCGGCCCTCTGATCCCCCATTAGCAGCCATGCAAACAAGCCTTCCACCCAATTAAGCCCAGCTTTGATAGAGCCTTTCCCAATGATGTGCTGGTCCCAAACTAGAGATTCGCACATGAGCCACTACCTGTTAAACCCGGAGTTGGCTTCCTTCGGGGACAAGCATCCCTCGCCTCTTGCCGTGACCCAGCTGCTGAGCTCTGCCCAGCTTCCCCCAGCCCTGAAGGGAGGCTTGCCTGATAAATGATCTCGACAAACTCTATATTAAAGAGGTGGAAATGGGATGTTAATATACCCCAAGTTGCTCGTCTCGAGAACACATGGGCTCTGGCTTCCCAAAGACGGCAGTAATGAGGCGGGCTGGGATGCCCCGCGAGGAGACCTCAGCCCACCCGCCTCCTGCATCTGCCAGGTGTGCAGGAAAGACAGCCTGACACCCGTCCTCTAAGGCATCCCCATGTCATCCCACAGAGCAGCCCTGGGTCATCCCCTCAAGCTGCTCAAGCTGCTCAAGCTGCTCACCTAAAGCATCCCGGCACCATCCCCTAAAGCATGCCAGTGTCATCCCCTAAAACAGCTCAGTGTTATTCCTTAGTGCATCCTGGCACCTAAAGCATGCCAGCGCCATCCCTTAAAGTGTCCCAGCGTCATCCCACAAAGCATTCCACCATCATCTCCCAAAGCATCCCAGTACACTCCCCTAAAACATCCCAGCATTATCCCTTAGTGCATCCCAGCATTGTCCCTTACAGCATCCCGGTGTCATCACCTCAAGCATCCCAGTATGCTCCACTAAAACAGCCCAGCAGGCTCCCCTAAGGTATCCCAGCATTACCCCTTAGCACATCCTGGCACCATATCCTAACGTATGTCAGTGTCATCCCCTAAAGCATCCCACTACACTCCCCTAAAATTTCCCAGCTTCATCCCCTAAAGCACCCCAGCATGATTGCCTTGGTATCCCACCATCTCCTAAAGCTTCCTAACAACATCCCCTAATACATGCAGGCATCTCTCAGTGCATCCCAGCGTAATTCCCTAAAGAATCCTGGCATCATCTCCTACAGCATCCCACCACCATCCCCTAAAGCATCCCAGCACTGTTCCCTAGCACATCCTGTCATCATCTTCTAAAGGATCCCAGTTTTCTCCCCTCAAGAATCCCAGCAGAATCCCCTAAAGCATCCTGGCATTGTCTCCTACAGCATCCCGCCTTCCTCCCCTAAACATTCCAGTGTCACCTCCTAAAGGATCCCAGTATCACCCCCCTAATACACCCTGGCACCCCTCCGTGCATCCCAGCATCATTCCCTAAAGCATTCTGGCATCACTAACCTAAAGCATCCCAGTACACTCCCGTAAAGCATCCCAGCAGTATCCCCTACAGCATCCCAGTGTCATTCCCTAAAGCATTCCAGCATCATCCCCTACAGAATCCCACCACCATCTCCTACAACATCCCAGTGTCACCCCCTAAAGATCCCAGTATGCCCTCCAAAAACGTCCCAGCATCATCCCCTAAAGATCCCAGTATGCCCTCCAAAAACGTCCCAGCATCATCCCCTAAAGATCCCAGTATGCCCTCCAAAAACATCCCAGCATCATCCCCTAGAGCATCCCAGTATCCTCCCCCAAACCATCCCAGTATCCTCCCCAAGAACATCCCAGCACCATTCCCTAAAGTATCTCAGTGTCATCCCCTAAACCATTCAAGCATCACCCCCTCCAGCACCCCCTATTCCTTCTCTCCAGACTGACCCCCCCCCAGGCAGCCTCTCTCTGCCCACCCGCCTCCTCCTCCCCCGCCTCCCCTCCCCATGTGCCACCCCACAACCTCTATAAATATTCAAAAAGCCGCATTTTCCAGCAAACCGCCCAGCTCAGGGTGGTGGGCTCCCGGGGGGTATGTTAATAAAGGGGCTGCGAGGGATTTACACACACACCCCACCCCCCCACCCCCCCCACCCCACGGCATCAACACGGGGGGGTCCAGCTGCTCATTTGCCCATACAAATATCTTGTCACTCGTCATTACTGCCAGGTCCTTCGTGCCTCAGTTTCCCCACCCTGCTGCTGCCTGGCGATGCTGAGGAGGGTTGGGAAAAAAAAAAAAGGAGGAATAAGGAGACAGCGAAAATAAGGAGGAATACCGAGGATAATGAAGTAGGGGGGAAACCTCCCCCCATCCAGAAAAATTCAGGAGGTGGTTTTGGGCCACGGCAGCAAGAGGTTTGCGCAAAGCTTGCACAAACATCCGCTAATCGCCGAATAAAAGGGCAATTAAAACTCTCGGCAGCAGTAATAAATCTGCTAACAAGGAGGCGATGCCCCCGTGCTCTCTGTTTGCCCAGCTGATTAACAGGGATGAATTTAGGGGGGGGGATTATCCGTTGGGATGAGGCGGCTCCTTTGTCTACTTTCCCCATCCCAAACCATCTCGGTGGAGGTATCTGTGATGGCTGTGCATGTGCCAGCCCCAGGAGCCCATCGCTGCAGCCTCAGGCCTCCTACTGGGATTAATACAGAGGTGCTTTAATCCCCGGAGCTCCCCAGAAACTCCAAGAATCCCATTAAAAAACTCTCCTCTCTTCAAAGCGCTCCATGAAAAGAGGCCCAAAAGTTCTTTGGGGATTAACATCCCCTTCCATACTCTATTCCCGGTTCGGAAGTTGCCCCATTCCCACAACTTGGCTTTTCAAGGACACCCAAAAGAAGGGCAGGGTGGGAAATACCACGGCATTTAATATTCCAGCATCGCATCCCAGAGAATTATTCAGATAATAGTTGGATAAGCTTGTTATTCTACCAATAATTTATTTCTCCCTTTTTTTTTTTTTTTTTTCATCCTACCGGGAAATCCTTGGGCTGCCGCATCCCCAGCAGGAGAAATGGAAAAGCTTTGTGGTCCTATTAAATTAATATTTATTTACTTTCTCCATGCCTGGCTACAAGGGGGATGGATGAATAATGCATCACCCCCCAGACGCCCGGGCAGGAGCTTTGCCAGCACCGGGCTCCGGCAGATTTGGCCAGATACGGAGAGCCCGGAGGCTGCTGGTGAGGCTGAGCGGACCCAGATGTGCACAGAGGGACAGATGTGTGCCTGTCTGTGGCCCCAGCACAGCTCCGGGTGGGGGGAGAGCGTGCTCGTGTGGGCCCTCCAGATGTGACCCAGATGGGCACCCACCTACCTCCTACTCGTGCCTCCAGATGTGCACACCCGCAAACCGCCCAAGGCTCCAGATGTGCTCGGGCATCCCCAGGCCCAGCTGGGATACCAGGGACACCTCCAGCTGTGACCCGAGCCCTCCAGCTGTTTGCCCTGACATGCACAGATCCCCCAGACCACCCACCCCCTCCCAGATGTGAAGACCCCAGCAACCCTCGGTGCCCCAGATGTGCACCAAAAAGCCCCCCTTTCTCCCCCCGGCTGTTCCCGTAGGGATGTGACTCCCCTTTGGGGCGCACTCACGCCCCCTCCAGCTGTGCACAGGCAAGTGGGGCCCTTTCACTTGCTGCTGTGCATCCAGATGTGAGGCCCCTTCTCCTGCTCGCCCTGCTCATCGCACCCCAGATGTGCGGGCAGATGTGCGCGTGTGTGTGTGTCCCCAGCCCTCTCCTGCTGCCCCTTCCCCTCCCCACCCCACCTCTCCAAGCTGCCCCATCCCCATCCAGCCCCCCCCCCGGGGCTCCCCACCCCCACTTTTTCCCCCCAGCCCAACATCCTCCCCACCTTTGCCCTATTCCAAAGAGATTGTTAGTGCCACCATAACAAACCCCCCCAGAACAAACCCCCCCAGAACAAACCCCACCAGAACAAACCCCACCAGAACAAACCCCCCAGAACAAACCCCCCCAGAACAAACCCCCCCAGAACAAACCCCACCAGAACAAACCCCCCCAGAACAAACCCCACCAGAACAAACCCCCCCAGAACAAACCCCACCAGAACAACCCCCCCAGAACAAACCCCCCCAGAACAAACCCCCCCAGAACAAACCCCCCCAGAAGAGGGAGCTCACTGGAGGTGACACACTGCTTCCCACATCAGCTCCAGTGCATTTATTAAGTGGCTAATTATGAATTCATTTGCTGATGCGTGTGTGTGCGTGCGTGTGTGCGTGTGCGTGTGTGTGTCCCAAATTTGAGGCCGCTGGTGGCCCCAGCACCCCCAGAAGTGGGACCCCTCTCTGCCCCGGCGTTGGGGTATGTGGGTATCAGGCTGCGCCCCTCCGAGCAGCCGCGTTTCCCCACGGGGTGTGGGGTGAAGCTGCCTTTTGGGGTTCCGGGGTGGGACTTTGGCTGGGTGGGGGGGGTGACAGCAGCCCCGTGGGGTGCCCTCTTATTTGGGATGAGGCCGGGCGGCTCCTGCCTCTCTTCCTCCTCCCTCCTCCTTCTCCTCCAACCCAAGACCCCCCTTCTTTCCCTCTGCCCCTCCCCACCCCACCTCTGCCCCCGACCATGGCCCCCCACACCCTATAGGGGAGCTCTCCCTTTCCCCTCCACCCCCCTTCCTAAAATGATGGGGCAGGGCCCCCCCCATCCGCCCCCGGCTCTGGCCGCGCCCCCGCTCCCGGCCGGCCCCGGGGGGCGGTGCCGCGGGTTGAGCCGAGCCGAGCCAAGTCGAGCTCAAGCGTGCCGGGCTAGATCGGGACTTGCAGAGCCGAGCCGAGCCGAGCCGAGCTCAGCCGTGCCGGGTCGGACCGTGCTGAGCTAAGCCTAACCAAGCCGAGCCTAGCCGCGCCGGGCCGGGATGCTGCGGTACCTGCTGAAGACGCTGCTGCAGATGAACCTGTTCGCAGACTCGCTGGGGGGAGAGGGCTCCAATTCCTCCCAGCTCCTGCTCGGCATCAACAGCACCATCGCTGCCCTCCACCTCCCCGGCCTCACCCCCGGCAACGGTACGTGACCTCGCTGTCCCCCGTGTCCCACTGACCCGGGGTCCCCAGCCCTGGTCCAGCGGGGATGCTGCAAATAGCCTGCAGCCCCCCTCCCAGCCACAGCCAGGACCCCACCAACGTCCCCAAACTCTCCCCGTGTCCTTGTGTCCCCTTATCTGGGAGCGACCCGGTGTCCCCAAATCAGCCCAGCCCTCCAGGACCGGCTCCGTGTCCCTGGATCAAACCCCAAGGAACGAAGTGAGAGCAATTCCATGTCCCCAGATAGTCCCTGGGACCCCAAACTGGGACCAGCCTGGTGTCCCCAAATCGGGAGCAGCCCTGCGCCCCTGAACTGGGAGCAGCCCCCTGTTGCAAAACCAGCCCCGTGTCCCTACACCAACCCCCAGACTGTGAACTAGGACTGACCTGGTGTCCTCACATTGTCCCTATGTCCCCAGACCAATCCCGAGTCCAAACCAGGAGTAACCCTGTGTCCCCAAACTGTCCTATGTCCCTACCCTGACCCCATGTCCCTGAACTGGGAGGGACTCAGTGTCCCCAGGCTGCCCCCATGTCTCCACACCAATCCCCAGACTCTGAACCAGGACCAGCCCCATGTCCCCAAACTGTCCCTGTGTCCCCACACCAACCCCCTCACTCTGAGCTGAGAGAGACCCCATGTCCCCAAATCAGTCCCGTGTCCCCAAAGCAGCCCTGTGTCCCCAAACTGGCTCCATGTCCCTGAGCCAGGAGGGACCCCAGTGTCCCCAGACTGTCCTTGTCCCCCCCAAACACCCCCCAGACCCCAAGCCAGGAGAGACCCCATGTCCCCAAACCAACCCTGTGTCCCCAAACCAGCCCTGTGTCCCCACGCTGGGATGGAACAGGGGGGAAGAGAGGGGGCAGCCCGGACCAGCTGTGGGTACTGGGGGGGTGACGGGCGGGGGTGTGTGTGTCTGCTTGAATTTTAAGCCCTTTTGGAGCTTTCCCCCTCTTTTTTTAGTCTGAACTTCTGGCTCTGGGTGGCCGACAAGAGGGGGGGGTGTCCCCAAACCCCCTGAGACTCCCCACCCTGGTTCAGCCAGCCGGGCACAGGAGGGGGCCTGGCCTTACCCCCCCCCCCCCCCCCCCCACTCCTTGTCCCAATTAGCCTCTGGGCCCAGCTGCGTCCCCCTCGGCCCCCGCTGTGCCCCCCACCCCCACCCCACCACCGCCACACGGGGCACCCAGTACCCCGCAGCATCCCCGTGGCAGCCGCATCCTGTCCCCATGGCAACGCACCCCCCCACACACACAAAGCCCCCACCCCCGGCCAGGGCGCCCCAAATCGCAGCCCACGCGTGGCTGCATGCGAGCCCCTCCCCGCCACCACCCCACGCGGGGCGCGCAGCCCGTCCGTGGGACAGCAGTGACACTCAGTGACCACAGCCCTGAACTGCAGGGCCAGCCGTGGGGCGGGGGGTGGGTGGCACTGAAGACACGCGTGGGCCATGCCATCCCTGCCCCTCCCGTTAGACCCCGCCATTAACGAGCATTAATTGTCCCAGCATTAGCGAGCGCTCATTAATTCCCTTGCCCTAGCCGCAGGGATTTTCCTGGAACAGCCCCACAGACCCAAGGCATGGGGGGTTTTTTAACTTAAAATTGTTTTCTGCAACCTGGAGTTACCAGCTCCGCTACAGAAAATCATCACTTGCAGATGATGGAAAAAACCCTATCTGGGGAGAATTTAGCCCTGACCCCTTTTCCCCAGGAATGTCCAGTTGGCAACCGGGTGGAAAAGGGGCGTTGCTGGGAGTGGAGCTGCTTTATCCCCCTGTCTGTCCTTGTCCCCCCCAGTGTGTTGGAGGCTCGACACCCTCCTGGTCATGCTCCCACCCCACCAGCACCCACCCTGGGTTGGGAGGGGTGGGGATACACTGGGCTGAGACCTGGCCGCACTTCATCTCACCTCCCGGCCATCTCACCTCTTGGGAATGGGGGGGGGGGGGGGGGGCGGGGGGAAATGATACATTGGGCTGAGACCCGGCCGCACTTCATCTCACCTCCTGCTCACCAAGCGAAGCGGGTGATGGTGCCAGGAAAGCGCCGTGTGAGCCAACAGAGGATGCTCAGCCCGCCAGAACCCCCCTCCCCGCTTCCCTCGGGGGAGGGTAGTGGGGACCACCTCCCCCCCCCCCCCCCCCCCCCCCCGCCTCTTTTTTCCACAGAGTCCCACCCTCAGCTGGAGGACACAGCACCCCGTATCGTGGAGCACCCCACAGATCTCCTGGTCTCCAAGGGGGAACCGGCCACCCTGAGCTGCAAAGCCGAGGGGCGCCCGGCGCCGGCGGTGGAGTGGTACAAGGATGGGGAGCGGGTGGAGACGGACCGGGAGGACCCCCGCTCCCACCGCACCCTCCTGCCAGGGGGGTCCCTCTTCTTCCTCCGCATCCTCCATGGCCGGCGGGGGAAGCCCGACGAGGGGGTTTACGTCTGCGTGGCCAGGAACTACCTGGGGGAGGCCACCAGCAGGAACGCCTCCCTGGAGGTGGCCGGTGAGTCCCCGGGAGGGGGACAGTGGGGAGGTGCTGGGGGCTGGGGGGGACACATTTGGGGTGCACGGGGGGTTTGAGGGGGTCTGGTGTCACTGCTGAGCGTAGCCCGGCGGCGAGGGGGCTGCCAAACCCCCAGGGCTCGGTGCTGCGAAGGGAGAAGTAGGGAAGAGGGGGGGAAAAAGAGCGGGGAGAAATGGAAAGGAGGACAGCAAAGAAGTGGAAAGAAGTGGAGATAATGGGAAATGAATGGAGAGAAGGGAAAATAATTGGAAAGAAAGTAAAATAAGTGGAAATAATGGGAAATAAATGAAAATAAGAGAAAAATAAGTGGAAATAGTTGAAATAAATGAAAATGAGGGGAAATAGTTGAAATAAATGAAAAAAAGGGGGAATAAGGAGAAATGAGTGAAAATAATTGGAAATAAGTGAAAATAATTGGAAATAAGTGAAAATATTTGGAAATAAATGAATAAGTGAAAATAAGTGGAAATAAGTGGAAGGAAATGAAAATAAGTGGAAATATTTGGAAATAAATGAAGATAAATGAAAATGAGTGGAAATAATTGGAAATAAATGAAAATAAGGGAAAATAAGGGAAAATAAGTTTAAATACTTGAAATAAATGAAAAAAGTGAAAATAAGAGGAAACAAAAGCAGTGAAAATAAATGAAAAAATGTAAATACATGAAAATAAATTAAAATAATTAGAAACAAAGTAAGTGAACATAAATTAAAATAAATTGAAATAAATTAAAATAATGTCCCTGGGGACACCCCCAGCCTCCTGCGGCCGAGCCTCGGGGTTAGACCCGGGACCGCGATGATGCTGGAGTTAAATCCTGACCGGGCTTAGCCCCAGATGTGAGTTTAGCTCAGTCACCAGGGATTATTTTAGGGGGACAGGGCTGGATTGGGGGGGGCACACCCTGCATCGGGGGTCCGATCCAGGCCCCGCCAACAGGAAATGCAGCATCACTGAGCTTTGTTATCTCCACGCTGAGGAAGGGGGGGGGGTGGGGGTGGGTGTCCAGCCCAAGGAAGGGGAAACTGAGGCAGGGTTGATGTCATCCCCCCCCCAGTGCTGCGGGACGATTTCCGGCAGCCCCCCGGGGACGTGGTGGTGGCGGCGGGGGAACCGGCCGTCCTGGAGTGCGTCCCCCCCCGCGGCCACCCCGAGCCCAGCGTCTCCTGGAAGAAGAACGGCGCCCGGCTGAGCAACAAGGATGAGCGCCTGACGGTGAGGGATACGGGGGTCCCCAAAACCAACGTGTGGGGGTGTTGGGGGTGGGGGGGAGGGGGTTGAGCTCCCCCCCCCCCCCGAGCCCCCCCCGGTTGAGCTGGGCTGCCCGGCAGATCCGCGGTGGGAAGCTGATGGTGGCCAGCACCCGCAAGAGCGACGCCGGCGTCTACATCTGCGTGGCCACCAACGTGGTGGGGGAGAGGGACAGCGAGCCGGCCGAGCTGGTGGTCTTCGGTGCGTGGCGGGGGGGGGGTGTGTGTGTGTGTAATTTTTGGGGTGTTGAGGGCGGGGGGGGGGGTGGGGTGGGGAGAGCCATCCAGGTGGGACTGACAGCTGCCCCGCAGAGCGCCCGGCGTTCGAGAGGAGGCCCCTCAACCAGGTGGTGCTGGTGGAGGGGACGGCGGAGTTCCCCTGTGAGGCGGTGGGGGACCCCCAGCCGGCAGCTCGCTGGCGCAAGGAGGAGGGCGAGATGCCACCGGGCAGGTGAGGGAGGGGGGAGCTGGTGGTGGTGGGGGGGGGGGGGGCCAGGGCAGCATCGCCGCCGGGAGTCCCGTGGCGTCCAGTATCCCCCGTCGCATCCCATCGCCCTGGCGCGTCCTCCATCCTCATCGTATCCCATGTCCCCGTCGCATCCTCACTGTACCCCCCCTTCTGCATCCCCCCGGGCCCTCATGGCACCCCGGCACCCTGCCGGTGCCGCGGCCTCGCGGGGTTCCCCCCCCCCCCCCCTCCCTCCCCAAAAGGTGGGAGGTGTTGCCCGACAACACCCTGCGGATCAGCCGGCTGCGGGAGGAGGACGAGGGTACTTACACCTGCGTGGCCGACAACAGCGTGGGCAGGTCGGAGGCATCGGGTACCCTCACCGTGCACGGTAAGGGGGGGGCCCCTGAGTGAGCACCCATGGGTGCTGGTAAAGTGGCCGGGCAAGCCCTTTTTCTCTCCTCGCGCTGCGGCAGTGCCCCCCCAGCTCGTCACCGGGCCCCGCGACCAGACCGTCACCCCTGGCCAGAGCGTGACCTTCCAGTGCCAGAGCAAGGGCAACCCGCCGCCCGCTGTGTTTTGGCAGAAGGAGGGTAGCCAGGTCTGTCCCTGTGCTTGTCCCCATCACTGTCCCCATCCCCCGCTGCTGTCCCTCTTCCCATCCCCATCCCTGTCTCCACGCTCATTCCCATCCCTGTCTCCACCTCTGTTCTCATCCCCATCCCCTTCCCCATCCCCGTCCCCATCCCCATCCCCGTCCCTGTCCCCATCCCCATCCCTGTCATTGTCCCCATCCCCGTCCCTGTCCCTGTCCCCGTCCCCATCCCTGTTCCTGTTCCAATCCCTGACTGTCCCCATCCCCATCCCTGTCCTTGTCCCCATCCCCATCCCTGTTCCTGTCCCTGTCCTGATCCCTGTCCGTCCCCATCCCCATCTCAACCCCATCCCCATCCCTGTCCCCATCCCCATCCCTGTCATTGTCCCCATCCCCATCCCTGTTCCTGTTCCAATACCTGACTGTCCCCATCCCCATCCCTGTCCCCGTCCCTGTCCCCATCCCTGTCCCTGTCCCTGTCCCCATCCCCATCCCTGTTCCTGTTCCAATCCCTGACTGTCCCCATCCCCATCCCTGTCCTCGTCCCCATCCCTATCCCTGTCCTTGTCCCCATCCCCATCCCTGTTCCTGTCCCTGTCCTGATCTCTGTCCGTCCCCATCCCCATCTCAACCCCATCCCCATCCCCGTCCCCGTCCCCATCCCTATCCCTGTCCTTGTCCCCATCCCCATCCCTGTTCCTGTCCCTGTCCTGATCTCTGTCCGTCCCCATCCCCATCTCAACCCCATCCCCATCCCCGTCCCCATCCCCATCTCAACCCCATCCCCATCCCTGTCCCCATCCCTGTCCCTGTCCCCATCCCCATCCCTGTCATTGTCCCCATCCCCGTCCCTGTCCCTGTCCCCATCCCCATCCCTGTTCCTGTTCCAATCCCTGACTGTCCCCATCCCCATCCCTGTCCCCATCCCCATCCCTGTCCCCATTGCTGTCCTCATCCCTGTCCCCATCCCCATCTTTACCCCATCCCCACCCCTGTCACCATCCCCATCCCCGTCCCCATCCCAACTCCATCCCCACATCCCACGCTCCCCCCACTCAGCCGCTCTCTGCCCCCTCTCCCTTTCCCCCCAGACCCTGCTGTTCCCCGGCCAGCCCCCACACCCCACTGGCCGCTTTTCGGTGAGCCCCGGCGGTGCCATCACCATCACCGATGTGCAGCCCGGCGACGCCGGCTATTACCTGTGCCAGGCCATCAGTGTGGCCGGCAGCGTCCTGGCCAAGGCACGGCTGGAGGTGGAAGGGGGTAAGTCCCATGCCGGCAGAGAACGGGTGCGTTCAGCGTGTAAGTGGCACCCATCCCAGCACCCAGGAATTCCTGTTTTTTTTCCTTCACGGTAGCACTGGCTGAGCACCGACCGCCGGTGATCCGCTGGGGTCCCACCAACCGGACGGTGCTGCCGGTGGGGGCCACCGCGCTGTTGCCGTGCTGGGTGGGGGGCGGTGACCCCCCGGCCAGCGTGGGGTGGTTGAAGGACGGGAGCGCTCTGGTGGGGGGCCAACCCCGCACCAGCCTGATGGAGAATGGCACCCTACAGATCACCAGCCTCCGGGTGAGCCGGCCCGGAGCAGGGGCTCAGGGCGCCCACCTCCCCGGGGTGGCACTGCAGGGATGGGAGGGGCTCCAGGGATGGGGGCGGGGGGGGGTTGCTCAGGTTGGTGGGTGCGAGGGATAGCGGGTACAATGGGTGGTGAGTACTTGGGGCGGTGGGTGCTCAGGGTGGTGGGTGCAAGAGGGCAACGGGTGCTTGGAGTGGCGGGTGCCAAGGTGCCGGGTGCTCAGGGTGTTGGGGTGGGAGGTCTCCCCCTCCCAGGTGACGGACTCTGGGCACTACGAGTGTGTGGCCACCAGCTCGGCGGGCAAGACACGCTGGGGTGGCTCCCTGGAGGTGCAAGGTGGGTCACGGGGAGGTGGGTGCACCGGGGACACCGTGGCACCGGGGACGAAGCCACCCCAGATCTCCATGCATTTCCTTGCAGGTGACGGAGCTGACTTTTCCCCGCCTTCCCCTGAGCCCAGTGTCCTCCCTGGGCCACCCTCCACCCCCGTGGTCACCAACGTCACCAAAAGCAGCGTCACCCTGAGCTGGAAAGGGAACAAGGACAGCGGTGCCACCGGCGTCACCTCCTACATAGTGGAGGCTTTCAGGTATCACGCAAGCACCCTCTCCGGGGGCGGGGGTGCTGTGGTAGCCTGGTGTCACCCTGCCGTGGGTCACCCCTTTTCCCCCTGCAGCCAGGCGGCGGGTGGCCCATGGCAGACTGTGGCAGCCGACGTGGTGGGTGAGACCCACACAGTGAGTGGCCTCGTCCCCGACACCACCTACCTCTTCTTGGTGCGGGCAGTTAACGCCTACGGGCTCGGCGACCCCAGTGGCGTCTCGGAGCCTGTGCGCACCCAAGGTGAGATCTGGTGGTGATGCCAGCGGAGGTGCCCACGAACCCACCCCCCTTGGGTGCATCCCCAGTTGGTGACACTAATGGAGGTGCCCATGAACCCAGCACCCTCGGGTGCATCCCCAGTTGGTGACACTAATGGGGGTGCCCAGGAACCCACCCCCCTTGGGTGCATCCCCAGTTGGTGACACTAATGGAGGTGCCCAGGAACCCACCACCCTTGGGTGCATCCCCAGTTGGTGACACTAATGGAGGTGCCCAGGAACCCACCACCCTTGGGTGCATCCCCAGTTGGTGACACTAATGGAGGTGCCCAGGAACCCACCACCCTTGGGTCCCTCTCCGCTTGGTGATGCCAGCGGAGGTGCCCACGAACCCACCCCCCTTGGGTGCATCCCCAGTTGGTGACACTAATGGAGGTGCCCAGGAACCCACCACCCTTGGGTGCATCCCCAGTTGGTGACACTAATGGAGGTGCCCAGGAACCCACCACCCTTGGGTGCATCCCCAGTTGGTGACACTAATGGAGGTGCCCAGGAACCCACCACCCTTGGGTCCCTCTCCCCTTGGTGATGCCAGCGGAGGTGCCCACGAACCCACCACCCTTGGGTGCATCCCCAGTTGGTGACACTAATGGAGGTGCCCAGGAACCCACCACCCTTGGGTCCCTCTCCGCTTGATGATGCCAGCGGAGGTGCCCAGGAACCCACCACCCTTGGGTGCATCCCCAGTTGGTGACACTAATGGAGGTGCCCAGGAACCCACCACCCTTGGGTCCCTCTCCGCTTGATGATGCCAGCGGAGGTGCCCACGAACCCACCACCCTTGGGTGCATCCCCAGTTGGTGACACTAATGGAGGTGCCCAGGAACCCACCACCCTTGGGTGCATCCCCAGTTGGTGACACTAATGGAGGTGCCCAGGAACCCACCACCCTTGGGTCCCTCTCCGCTTGGTGATGCCAGCGGAGGTGCCCACGAACCCACCACCCTTGGGTGCATTCCTGCTTGGAGATGCTGATGGAGGTGCCCGTGCACCCACAACCTTTGAGTGCATCCTCGCCCAATGGTGCCAGTGGAGATTCCCGTGGACCCCTCCCATGGGAATGTGGCGTCAGCATGGCATCCCCACTTGGTGACACCAGTGGAGGTTTCCAGGGACCTTCCACCCTCTCGTGTTTTTGGCAGATGCCAGCCCCACGCAGCAAGGGCTGGACCCCGAACAGGTGCAGCGGGAGCTGGCACAAGTGGCCGTGCACCTCCAGGAACCCGTGGTGGTGCCGCCGGGTGCCATCCGCCTCTCCTGGACTGTGAGTGCTGCCCCACGCTGCCGGTACAGGGCTCCCAGTGCTGAGCATCACCCCCCACAACCCCACCCTCCCCTTGGGTCCCCAGGTGGAACGCCAAGCACCCTTCGTTCAGGGCTACCGGGTGCTGTACCGGCAGCGTGGCGGGCACTGGGAGGAGGCGCAGGTGGTGCGGGCACCGGGGGAGCGGGGGGCTTTGCTCACCGAGCTGCGCCGGGGCCAGGACTACGAGGTCAAGGTCCAACCCTACTTCCATCACCTCCATGGCCCCGACAGCGCCGTGCGTGCCCTGCGCACCCCGGAGGCGGGTGAGTGCAGGGGTGGCAGGGATGGCGAGGGTCCCCGGGACACCCCCGGGGATGACACCCTCTATGTGCACCCCTGGAAGCCCCCAGCGCCCCACCGCGAGCCGTCAGCGTGGCTGGTAACGGCACCAGCGTCCGCATCTCGTGGCAGCCACCGCCGCCGGCCGAGCAGAATGGCATCATCCGGGATTACCGGGTAAGGGCAGATGGTGGCAGGGACACAGCGGGTCCCCTCTGTCCCCGTCCCCCCCGCCTCCATGACACCATGTCCTGCTGTCCCAATGTTTCCCCTCCCCGACAGATCTGGTGCTTGGGCAATGAGAGCCGCTTCCACATCAACCAGAGCGTGGAGGGGACGGTGCTGGCGACGGTGCTGCGGGGACTGGTCCCCGGTGTCCCTTACCGTGCTGAAGTCGCCGCCGCCACCGGCGCCGGTGTGGGCGCCCGCAGTGCCCCCATCCCCATCCGCATCGGTGAGTCCCCCGTCACCGCTGCCGGGGTCACCCTGGTGCTGGGGACGGCTCCTCGGCACCCTGGCTGGCGTGTCCCCCTTCCCCCCCCCCCCCCCCCCGTTGCTCACAGCCCCCCCAGCGGAGCAGGATGCAGGCCCGGCAGGCGGGAGCAGCGTGGCCAAGCGGTTGGCCGAGGTGGCCAGGCAGCCGGCCTTCATCGCCGGCATGGGGGGCGCCTGCTGGGTCATCCTCGCCGCCTTTGCCGCTTGGCTCTACGGCCGCCGCCGGAGGAAGAAGGAGCTCAGCCACTTCGCCGGTACGCTGGGGTGCTACCCCTGGGATGCCCCCCCCCTACCCTGGCACCCCGTCACCACCCACCCACCGCCTCTCTCTTTGCAGCATCCTTTGCCTATACACCCGCCGGTAAGCCTATAGGTGCCGCAGGGACCCGGCGCGGCCCCTCACCCCCCTCACCCCCACCTCTTTCTGCAGTTGGCTTCCCGGCTGCTCCAGCTCGCGGCAGCCCCAGGTAGCCCCCACAAAACCCCCCCTCCCGCTGCCAGGACCCCCAGCGCCGGCCTCCGGCACCCCTTCACCCTGTCTCCTTGCAGGCCAGCTGCCGGTGGTGGTTACCCATGGATGGCAGACATGTGGCGCAGCGGCACAGCCGGTGCCCCCGGCTGCTTGGGGACCCCTGAGAGATACTACAACGGTGAGGGGTCATCACGGGGATGGGTGGCTTGGCTGGGGGGAGGCCCGGGGTCAGCCCTGACGGTGCTGGCTGCCCTCCGCAGACACTGGCATCACCCGTTACATCGCCCAGACGGAGCAATTCGGGGTGGGGGCTGGTGAGGGGCCGGTTTACAGCACCATCGAGGTGGGCGGCGAGGACCTCTGCACCTTCCCCCGTCCCTTCTCGCAGCACGGGACCCCCTACCCTGCGGGGGGTCCCCAGCCAACGGATGCCGCGGTCCCCCAGGCACCCCGTGGCCGGGCTGAGCACGGTAGGGTGGTGGGATGGGTGGGGGGGACACCCGGGTGCCAGTGGCGCGGTCCCCTCCCTGCAGGGACACCCTCCCCCCCCCCCCGGCATCCTTCCTCACCACAGGGGTGAAAGGGAAGAAGCTGGGGCAAGCGGTGAAACCGCCGGCGGTGAGTTGGACGGAGCTGCTGCCCCCGCCGCCCTCGGCCAGCGAGCTCAGCCGGTGCGCCCAAGAGGAGGAGGAACAGGAGGACGAAGAGGAAGAGGCAGCCGGAGGGTGAGTTGTGGGCGCCTAGGGAGGGGCTGGGGGACGCTGGCCCCAGCACCCACCCTGTGGGGCCTCACCCTGCAGGTTGGGGACGGAAGAGTGGTACCCCGGCGAGGATGTCCCCTGTGCCACCGCTGCCTCCTCGCCCGCCGCCTCCTCCGGCTGCCGCTCCACCGCCACGCTGACGCCATCGCCCCGTGCCGCCGAGGACGTCCCCCGCCTTCACAACTTCGACAGTCCCCGCCTGCCCCGGTAGGAGATGGGCCTCGCTTGGTCCAGCCATGCCACTGGGGTCTGGATGTCCGATCAGGTTCCAGATGTCCCATAGAGGTGTAGATGTCTCACTGGGCTCCAGATGTCCCACCACGGTCCGGTGTCCCATCACAAGCCAGTCATGTTGTCACCATCTGTCTCTGCTGTGCCACCGTGGTCCAGCTGTGTCATTAGGATCCAGAAGTCTCATAGGGGTCCAGATACCCCACTGGGGTCTGGATGTCCGATCAGGTTCCAGATGTCCCATAGAGGTGTAGATGTCTCACTGGGCTCCAGATGTCCCACCACGGTCCGGTGTCCCATCACAAGCCAGTCATGTTGTCACCATCTGGCTCTGCTGTGCCACCGTGGTCCAGCTGTGTCATTAGGATCCAGAAGTCTCATAGGGGTCCAGATACCCCACTGGGGTCTGGATGTCCGATCACGAGCCAGTCATGTTGTCACCATCTGGCCCTGCCATGCCGTTGTGGTCCGGCCATGCCTTCAGGGTCCAGATGTCCCACTGGGGACCAGATGTCCCACTGGGGCCCAGATGTCCCACCACAATCCAAATGTCCCATCAATCCAGCCATGTTGTCACCAGCCGTTCCTGCTCTCCAGTTGCGCTCTGGCCGGGCCACTGTTGGCCCCGGGAAGGTTGTGCCAGCGCCATGGTGGCCACCGACCCCCTCCCCACTGCTCCCCCCGTCCCAGATTCACGCCCCCCACACCCCCCTCTTTGGCAGGAGACCCCCCCATGGCACCAGCACCTCTCCACGGGCATCCAGCCCCCCACCCAGTCCAGCTGTCAGCGAGGGCCACCTACCCCGAGCCCGCCGCCCCCCCGGCACAGGTGAGCTCTGGGGGGTCATTTTGGGTTGGTTGGGTGGCTCTTATGAGTGATGACGCTGCCATCACCCCCAGGGAAAACCCACGGGGAGACCCCCAAAAGTCGCCTGAAGCCCAAATGCAACCGCTACCGCCGGGAAAAGCAGCCAGGAGGTGATCGAGGGGGGGCAAAAAATGGGGGCAAAATGGGGGGAGGCGGGGGGGTCCAGGGGGGACTCAGCTCTCTCGTCCCTCTCCGCCACAGACCTGCCGCCGCCGCCGCTGCCGCCACCGGGGGAGAGCCCCGGCCCCTCGCTGGAGAGGGAGCCGAGCGGGGCTGAGCGCAAGGTCACCCATCGCCCACCCCGCGGTGGTAAGCCGGGGACACCGACTGTGTGCCAAAGCCCTCCCTGGCGTCACCGCCGAACCCCAACCTTCTCCCCTCCCTTGCAGACGAGGTCGTCCCTTACGGCAAACCCTCCTGCCTGGTGTCCGGCAGCTGCTCCACCACGGGCAGCGTTTCGTCCCGTGGCTCCACCGGCTCCCGTGGCCACGGCTCAGGGCACAGCCGGACGCCAGGGGTGGACCGTGGTGAAGGGACCGGCCACCGCCGCCGCCCAGGCCCCCCCTTTCCCTGCTCGTCGCAGGAGAAGCGATGAAGCAGAGGGCGAGCCAGTGGCAGGGTTGGGGACACGGGGAGGTCGATATGGGGGGGGACAGGGGAAGGGATGATCTTTAATTTCTGAGTGGCACCACGGAAATGGGGTTGCACAGAGCCAGTGGCCAGCGGGCAGCAGTGCGAGGGGGGGACAAGGATACTTGGGGGGGACAAGGACAGTCAGGATGAACGAGGATACTCAGGACCGATAGGAGGGATGGGGGTGCTTAGGGAGGGATGAGGAGGATATTCAGGGAGGGAGGACCCTGGGGACAAGGACGGTTGGGAGGGGCAAGGACACTGAGGAGGGACAAAGATGCTCGGGATGGATGAGGATCCTGGGGACAAGGACAATTGGAAGGGACGAGGAAGCTTGAGGAAGGACGAGCATGCTTGGAGAGGCCAAGGACAGTCACGAGGGATGAGGACCCTGGGGAAGGACAAGGATGCTCAGGAGGGACAAGGACCCTGGAGACAAGGACAGTTGGGAGAGTTGAGGACACTGTGGAGGGATGAGGATGCAAAGGAGGGACGATGATGTTGGGGACAAGGACAGTTGGGAGGGATGAGGATGCTTGGAGACGCCAAGGACAGTCATGAGGGATGAGGACCCTGGGGAGTGATGAGGACACTGGGGAGGGATGAGAATGCTCAGGAGGGATGAGGACACTCGTAGGGGGCACAAGGACATTCTGGAAGGACAAGGTGGCTTGGGAGGGGTGAGGACACTTGGGAAGGCCAAGGATGGTTGAGGTGGGACAAGGGTGCTGAGGAAGGATGGGAACAGTCAGAAGGAATGAGAGCAGTCAGCAGGGATGAGGATGGTTGGGGGAAAATGACACTGGGGAAGGACAAGGACACTTGGGATGGACAGCAGTGCTTGGTTTGGACAAGGATGGTTGTGGGGACGAGGATGCTGAGGAGGGATGGGGACTCTGGGGAGGGATGGGGACACATGGGGAAGGATGAGGACACTTGGGGCGAGCAATGGTACTTGGGCTGCACGAGGTTGCTTGGGGGATGATGATGCTGGGGAAGGAGGAAGACACTTGGGGAAGATGAGGACACTTGGGGAGGATGAGGATATGGTGGAGGGATGAGGACTCTGGGGAGGGGTGAGGGCACTTGGGGAGGACAAGGCTGCTGGGGAAGGAGGGACACCTGTCCGCGCCTGTGCCACCCACCCTTCACAGGTGGCTTTTGCTAGCAGAAAGCCCCTTTTTGGGGAACCTCATAATAAAGCTGGATTTTAGCTGAGCCGAGTGGATTCTGGCCTTGCCGCGTCCTACATCCTGGGGACTGCCACACTCCTGTCCCTCCTGTCCCTGGCTCGCCGCCCACCCGGGCCCAGGGACTGCCAGTCCCTGACCCATGGCCACCTGGAAATAAAAAAGGACATTTTCTAGCACCCCACAGCTGGTGACATCCCGCACCGTCCCTGGTGCCCATCACCCCAGTGTCAGGGCACCACTCACCATGCTGCGGGGTGCCTGTGGCTTCCTCCATCCCAACTCCCTGCGGGACCCCCAGCGCTGTCCCCCAGTCCCAGGTGGGGATGTGGACCTCAGGCGAGAAGACCCCCTCCAAGGGTGATGGTGGTGGTGAGAGACCTGCTGGGGAGAAGGCAGGAGATGGTGGCATCACTATGGTGTCGTGATGGGGCCCCTTTCCCTAAGGAGGTGACGATGCTCAGGATCAGAGGAGGGGTCCGGGGGCCCTTCACTCACCCCCATAGGCCCTGTTGGTGTCCTCGAGGCTGAAGCAGAGGCCATCGACGGCCACAGCCAGTGCCCGGGCAAAGCTGGCGTCCAGGAGGAAGGAGCCATCGCAGGAGCTCACCAAGCTGCAGCGGGCACTGGCGAAGTTGTCCTCCGAGACAGACCCCCAACCATTCATCAGCGACCCCTCTGGCGAGCCCCTTGTCACTGGCCGCTCTTGCTCTTCCTCCTCTTCTTCCTCCTCTTCACCCAGATCAGAGGCCGGTGGACCGTAGATGTAGCCGTAGGTGTGTGGTGGCGAGAAGGACCGTGGCGTGGTTTGTGCCGGGAGGCTGTGGGGGACACAGTGGGGACACTGCTGGCACCGAGGGATGCTGTCACCGTGTTGGAGTCCCAGGGGGATGGGGCGTACCCGGGGCAGGTGATGTCCTGGTCCATCTCCAGGTCCTCAGCCACCTGCTGCGGTGTGAGGACCCCGTCACTGAATGCCGGCGAGAGGCGCCCAGTGGCTGGGGACTTGTCCCTTGAGTGCCTGGTGGCTGGGGACATGTCCTTGGGGTACCTGGCGGCCAGGAACACGTCCCTTGGGTTCCTGGTCACCAGTGATGGGTCCCCTGGGTGCCTGGTGGCTAGGAACATGTCCTTGGGGTACCTGTTGCCCAAGAACTTGTCCCTCCGGTGACCAGTGGCTGGGAACATCTCTTCGGGGGGACTGGGGACTGGGGACCTGTCCCTTGGGTTCCTGGTGGATGGGGATGTCTCCTTGGGATGCCTGGTGACCGGTGACATGTCCTTTGCGTATCTGGTGGCCAGAAATGTGTCCCTTGGGTGCCTTGTCACTGGTGATGGGTCCTTGGGGTGTCTGGTGGCTGGGGACATGTCCTTGGGGTACCTGGTGCCCAAGAACTTGTCCCTGTGCTGCCTGGGGACTGGGGACATCTCTTCAGGGTGCCTGGTGACTAGAGATGTGTCCCTGGGGTGCCCGGTGGCTGGGAATGTGTCCTTGGGTTGCCCCATGCCTGGTGACATGTCCTCAGGGTACCTGCTGGACAGGAACACGTCCCTTGGGTGCCTGATCACTAGTGATGGGTCCCTGGGGTACCTGATGGCCAGAGACATGTCCTTGGGGTACCTGGTGGCCAGGAACTTGTCCCTGCGGTGCCCAGTGGCTGGGGACTTATCCCTGGGGAGCCTAGTGACTGGGGACCTCTCTCTTCCATGCCCACTGGCTGGGGATGTGTCCTCAGGGTGCCTGGTGGCTGGTGACATGTCCCTCTGACGCTTGGTCACTGGTGATGGGTCACTGGCGTGCCTGGTGACTGGGGACATGTCCCTGGGGCACTCGGTGACCAGGGACATGTCCTCAGGGTGCCTGGTGGCCGGGATTGTTTCCCTCTGGTGGCTGGTGGCTGGTGATGGGTCTGGGGGGTGCCTGGTGGATGGTGACATGGCCCTGGGATGCTCAGTGACTGGTGACACATCCTTGGGGTGCCTGCTGGCCAGAGGCGTGTCCTTGGGGTGCTCAGTGACCAGGGACATGCTCCTAGGGTGCCTGGTGACCAGGGACACATCCCTGGGGCTCTCAGTGACCAGCGATGTGTCCCTTGGGCACACAGCGGTTGGAGACGTGTGCCTGGGGATCCTGGTGACTGGGGACATGCCCTTGGGGTGCCTGCTGGCCAGGGATGTGTCCTTGGGACACAGAGTGGCCGGTGACCTGCAGGCGCAAGGGACATTGTGGCTTCTGCAGCACAAGGTTGGGGTGCAGGACACCCACCTGTGTCCCCAGGGTGGGGACACTCAGACTTACCGGGTCACTGGAGGGTTCCAGGCGTGGGATGGTCTCGGGGGTGACCCAGTGACACCAGAGGCCAGTGAGGCACTCCCCCGGCGTGGTTTTGGGGAGCTGAAGACTGGCAGCTGCTGTCGGTCCCCTCCAGCCATCACAGCAGTGGTGGTGTCACCCTCATGTCCCCTTTGCTGAGGCCACCCAGCTGCCAGTCCCAAATCTGTCTCCCACTCACCTCCATTCTCAGTGACAGGGACATGACCAGGGCCACCCATGAGTGCTGGGGTGCTGTGCACTTGGTGCAGCTCTGCAGAGGGGGGGGACACGACACAGAACCATGAGCCACATCCCCCATGTCCCCTGTGTCCCCTCATGTCCCTCCCACACTCACCTCGTTTGCGGATGCGCTCCCAGGGTGCCAGGTTCGGGGTGCTGGGTTCGGTGCATGCTCCGGGGTGCACCCCTCCACAGCAGCCCACATCCCCGAGGGGCAGTGGGTGCCCCCCGCGGAGGCTGCTGGGGTTTGGGGATGTGGGGGGACCAAGGCTTGGCAGCTCCAAGGTCAGGGCTGGAGGGGCAAGAGTGGTCAGGGCACCCATGGGTGCTGATCTGGGGGACACTTGTCCCCTCTCTCCTTAGATCTGTCTGTCTCCAAGTCCCTGTCACCTGCAGAGAGGGTCCCACGGCAACGGGGGGCACCCAGGTGGGGGTCTCATGGCACCGGGGGGTGCCAGTCATAGGGTTGGTGTATCAGGCACCCTTTGCTAATCCCGCAGGACCCTGAGGGGGTTCCAGGCTGGGGGTCCCATAGCAGAGAGTGAGGCATCCCATGGAAGTGGGTGGGGGTCCCAGGGGACCGGGTGGGGGGGGTCCCATGCCACTCGGTGGGTGTCCCACCCCCAGGGGCTTGTTGGAGGGGTGAGGGTCCCATGGCACCAGGTGGGGGTCCTAGCCCCTGTGGGGCTCACTGAAAGGATGGGGGTCCCACGGCATTGGGTGGGGGTCCCGTCCCAGCCCCCGTGGAGCTCACTGGAGGGGTGGGGGTCCCTGCTGTCGCTGCCCAGGAGCCGGCTGCTGAGGCTGCTGCTGCTGCTGAGGTTTTGGGGGGCACAGCCAGGTTTCCAGGGGCCACCGAGCCACGGTGAGTCACCAGCCACCAGCCTGCAGGGTGAGGGGTGCCATCAGGGCATCCTACCCCCACCCTTCCAGGGACATCCCCCCAGCCCCCCCACCCCACAGCTGCTCACCTGTGGCGAGCCGCAGTGTCCTGACTGGCGCGGTGCTGGCAGAGGAGGAGGAGGAGGGCAAGCAAGGCCAACCAGAGCAGCGAGCCGGCGGCCGCGATGACGGCGGGCTGCCGCAGCAGCCGGGCCACCCTGGTGCTCTCTGCTGTCACCCCTGCAGGGGTCCCATCAGCGTCACCCCCCATGCCGCCACCTTGAGCCCCCCCACTTGCACCCCACCTTGCTTCCTCGACCCCTACCCAGGACGCTGCAGGTGGCATTGCTGGGGATCCCCAGCCCTGCGCTGTTGAAGGCTGCCACTCGGACACAGAATTCGGCCCCAGGGCTTGGGTGGAGGGTATTCAAGCTGTGGGTGCCTCCGTCCACTGTCCTGTTGGTGGGGTGTTTCCAGCCCTCGCCCACTGACCAGACCTGGCAGGCACCAAGAGGATGGGCCCCCTTAGATTAATCCCCTCGATGGACCCTCCCTGACGGATCCCTCGTGGACGGACCCCTTTGCATGGGCTCCCTTGGATGAATCCCCTAGGATGGGCCCCTTTAGATGAGTCCCCTTGGATGAACGCCACTGAGATGGACACCCTTGGATAGGCCCCCTTAGATGAGTCCCCTTGATGGCCCCCCGGTGATGTACTCCTCTTGGATGACCTCTTTAGATGGATCCCCTTGGTTGAACCCACCTGGATGGACCTCCTTGGGTTGCACCCACTTGGATGACCCCCTTCTTTACATTGACCCTTTAGATGGATCTCCTGGGATGGACCTCCACCTTGGTAGGCCCCTTCGGATGAGCCCCCTTGGCAAGATCTCTCTTGGATAGACCCTGCGTACGGATCCCCCCTCAGACAGGGACTCCTTGGGGGACCAGCCTTGGATAGACCCCCACATTTGATAAGCCCCCTTCTTGGATGGATCCCCCTTAGACAGACCCCTTGGCTGGACCTCCTTGACCAGAGGTCCTCCAGTTCCACCACCCTGCCCTGTCACCCCAGACCTTATATCCCCGGATGATGCCATTGTGAGCCTCAGGAGGAGGTGGCTCCCAGCTCACGACCACGGTGCCGTTCCCCGTCTCAGCCTGGCCCACGGTGACACGCTGGGGCGCTGCACTTGGCACTGCCAGGACAGGAATACTGAGACCCCCCGGAACCCCTGCTGACGCCTCCCATCCTCCACCCGGACATCCCCAGGGACACCCAACGCACCTTCCTCAGGTATCCAGAGGTGCCTGCTGTTGCTGTCCGAGCCCTGGATTGCTCCAGCGTAGGGTCGGACCTTGAACTCATACTTGTAGCCCCTGCGGAGCATGGGGATGACGGCGCTGAGCTCCCTGCCTGCGTCGTGTTGGACCCAGGAGGTGCTGGAAGGGAGCAGGCAGCGGTACAGCACCACGTAGCCCACCAGCAACGGCACCGGCATCAGCATCTGAAGGGCATGGGAAGGGTTACGAGTCGTGGCGGGACATGGGGATGGGGCTCCAGCCTCCTCCCTGTGTCCTGCCCTCCTGGTGGGCATGTCTTGGCGTCACACCAACCCGCCAGCGGAGACGGACGGCGGCAGCGGGCAGCACGGTGCCGTTGTCCAGGTGCAGCCGCACGGCCAGCAGGTCCCGCGGCGCAGCCTCCTGCCAGCCCGGCTGCTCTGTGGGGCAGAGGGAGGTTGATGGCAGCGCTGGGCGGCAGCAAGGTCCCCTGGCACCTGCCCTGGCACCCACCCATGACACTCCTGTCTGGAGACCCTGATGTCTCCCTGGATGGACCCACTCAAATGGACCCCTTGGTTGGGCCCCCTTTGAAGGACCCCATGATAGACCCCTATTCACGTGTCCCTCTTAGATGGACCCTTTGGACAGATACCTCTTGTTCAATCCTCCTTTAATGGACCCCCCACCTTGGACAGACCCCCTTGAATGGCTCCTCTTGGCGGAACCCCCTTGGATGGATCCCCTTTAGATGGACTCTCTTGAATGGATCCCCTTGGATGGACACCCACCTGGATGCATCGCCTTAGCTAAATCCCCTTACACGAACACGCTCGGATGGACCCCTTAGATGGATCCTGTTGGATGCTTTTAGATGGACCTCCTGAGATGGACCCCCCCTTCGGAAGTACCCCTTGTGATGGGCTCTCCTCGAATGGACCCCTTCAGATGACTTAGTTGGGTGGACCCTTTTTTGATGGCCCCCCTTGGATAGACCTCCTTGGATGGACCCCCATGAATGGCCTCCCCAGGGATGACCTCCTTGGATGGACCTCCCTTGAATGAACGCCCTTTGGACAGACTTCCCTTGGATGACCTCCTTGGATGGACCCCCATGAATGGCCTCCCCACGGATGACCTCCTTGGATGGACCCCCATGAATGGCCTCCCCACGGATGACCTCCTTGGATGGACCCCCATGAATGGCCTCCCCACGGATGACCTCCTTGGATGGACCTCCCTTGAATGAACGCCCTTTGGACAGACTTCCCTTGGATGACCTCCTTGGATGGACCCCCATGAATGGCCTCCCCACGGATGACCTCCTTGGATGGACCTCCCTTGAATGAACGCCCTTTGGACAGACTTCCCTTGGATGACCTCCTTGGATGGACCCCCATGAATGGCCTCCCCACGGATGACCTCCTTGGATGGACCCCCATGAATGGCCTCCCCACGGATGACCTCCTTGGATGGACCCCCATGAATGGCCTCCCCACGGATGACCTCCTTGGATGGACCCCCATGAATGGCCTCCCCACGGATGACCTCCTTGGATGGACCCCCATGAATGGCCTCCCCACGGATGACCTCCTTGGATGGACCTCCCTTGAATGAACGCCCTTTGGACAGGCTTCCCTTGGATGACCTCCTTGGATGGACCCCGTTAGATGGACCCTGCTAGATGGATCCCATTGCATGGACCCCTCATGGCCCTGGGTGCTCATGATGGTGCAGGCCATGGAGGTCCCACCACTGACCCTTCACGTGCAGGCGGGCGGTGGCAGCGGCGGTGCCCAGCTGGCTCTGTGCCGTACACACGTAGGTTCCGGCGTCGGCGGGCGTCACAGCATAGAGGTGCAACGTGTGCTCCAGGTCCACCTCATGCCTGTGGATCACCAGCTCTCCACCAGCCCCATCCCCAACCCGGGGATGGGCCACCTCCACCCTGCCACCACCTACCTGCCCCAGGGCAGGTCCCCACGCTCCTTGTGCCACTGCACCCGCGGCGCCGGGTCACCTTGGGCCCCGCAGCCCAGCTCCACGGTGCTGCCAGCTGCCACCGCGGCGTCGCTCGGGCGCCGCGTGATGGTCGGCTTCTCTGCGGGAGGACACGGAGGACGTGGCACCAAGGTTGGCCATGACGTGTCCACCACCCGTGGGAGACCCTTGGCTTACCCAGGACGGAAACGTGGGCGCCCCGGCTCTCCCTCTCGCCCGCCGCGTTGGCCGCCACGCAGATGTAGATCCCAGAGTCGCTCCGCTGCGCCGGTGTCACTCGCAGCTTCCCGTTGGTGACCACGTACCGGTCACCCATCAAGTCCAAGGTCACCCCATCCTTCTTCCAGGTGACGTGGGGTTCGGGGTGCCCCGAGGGGGGGACGCAATCCAGCTCCAATGCTTGCCCCGCTGTGGCCACCAAATCACCCGGCTGCAGGCGGAAATTTTCCCGCAGCACTGTGGTGGGGAAGGGACACACACCGTGGAAGGGTGGGGGTGGTGACAGCAGGATTTTTTGGGGGTCGTCCCCCCCCCCCCCCTCATCATCCCCACAGTGTGTCCTTACCAGCTGCAGTTTGGGGTGCCACAGCTGTGCCGGGGGGGTGGCAGCCTGTGAGGTGACATGGAGGCTGGTGGGTGCACCGAGCGGGCACGGTCTCAGCCCCCAGTTTTGGGGGGTGGGGAATTAAGGGTGTTTTTCCCCCCCCCGCCGCGGGGGCTGCACTCACCTCCCCAGCGCAGCGCAGTGAGGCAGAGCCCCAGGCCCAGTGCCGCCGCCCAGCCGCCCGCCATGCCAGCCCCAGCCAGCCTTCCCGTTTCCTCCCTAAAACCCAGTCCCTCCCCCCCAGCACTGGGGCCGGATCTGGCTCCGGATGGGGGGGGACAATAGCCGGACACGGGTGGGGGGGGTGGGGGGGCCGGGAAGTGCCGGGAGGCAGGGGGAGTGGTGGACACAAACAGCTCAGCCAAGCCGTGGCGGTGCGAGCGCTCAGGCACAGGGGCGCTGGCAGCGCCCGGAGGCAGCGGGGGGGTTGGGGGGATGCCAGCGGGTAACGAATTTAATTACTGAGAAGAAATTCTGTCCCCCCAACCCTCCTCTGCCACGTTCGGAGAAAGAAGAAGAAATGAGCTCCTGGCTGGGAACACCGTCAGTAGGGACCAGAGTGAACTGGTCTCCCAGGCTCTGCAAGCTTAAATTTGGGTGCCAGCTAGGTGCGTCAAGCTCATCTGGTCTCAGTTGTCCCCCACCTCTCATGTCTGCCCCTCAACCTGGGGGGGGGGGGGGGGGGAACACACCCTGTCCCACAAAGACACCCAAGGGTGCCGCTGCCAGCCAGGTAGTATGTTTAGTTTATTGGTTAGTAGCGCACCCCGAGCACCCTGGGGTGCACCAGCACCCACCCTGGGTGCCCTGGGGCCCTGCTCGCTTGGCCGGCCGCTCTCCGGTTTGCATCCTAAACCTATTTCCTGGGGAGACCTGAGGGGGGAAGAGGCGACGCTCCCAAAATGGGGGATTTTCACAGAAAATCCGAGTTGCAGCGGCGGGGCAGCATTGGGGTTGGGGAAGGCGGCGGGAGACCCCCTCCATTTAGGCCACCCACCCGGCACTGGCGTGCGTGGGTCTGTATGCTGCGGCAGGTGGGCACGGTGCTCCCGCGTGGTTTTTCTGCTGGCTCCTGCGTGGTTTTTTTTGCTGGCTGCTGCGGCGTGCTGCGCACAAGCTCCCCGCCATCTCGCACGTGCCCTGCACACCCTCTTCGCTGCACACTCCCCGCAAGCGCTGTGCATGTGCTCTCTCCGAACCCGTCTCTGCACGCCCTCTTGCAAGCCTCGGATATGCTCCCTTCTCACGCCCCGTGCGCGCTCTCTGTGCGCGCTCTCTGCAAACACTGCACGCACACTCTCTCCGCACGCTCTGTGCACGCACTGTACAGACTCTGCACACTCGTGCTCTCTGCACGCCACATGTGTGCTCAGATAGCCCTCCCGATGCTGGCACGTGCACATGCAAATGCCACGCACAGGCTTATCTGCACGTTCCACGCACGCCTTCTGCACACTCTCTATGTGCACGCTCTCCGCACAATCCATGCAGTCATAGCTGCGAGCTCTGGGCATGCTCTCTGCACGCTCTGTGTGTGTTCTCTCCGTGTGCTCTGCACTCTCTCTCTTGCACACTCTGTGCATGCTCGCTCTGCACACCCTTCTGCATGCCTTCTTGCACCCTTTGTGCACACTCTCTCTGCATGCTCCAGGCATGCTCTGTCCACATGCCCTGTGCACATCCTCCTGCATGCTCTGTGCATGATCTGTCTGCAGTCTCCGCACTGTTTCCACACATTCCATGCATGCTCTCTCTGCACACTCTGTGTGTGACATCCCTGCACACGCTCGGTACGCTCTCTCTGCACGTTGCCCATATGCCGTCTTGCATGCTCTGTGCTCACACTCCCTGTTCCCTCCCTGCATGCTGTGCACTCCTGCATGCCAACTCTGCACCCTCTGCGCACGCTCTCTCTGCATGTTCCATACACGTCCTCCTGTATGCTCCGTGCATGCTTTCTTCTCCCCATTTTGCACGCTTTCTCTGCACACCCTGTACGCTCTGTGCATGCTTCTCTGCATGCTCCCGGCCAGCCCTCTTGCACGCTCCATGCAAGCCCTCTCTCCACAGTGCGTGCGCATTCTCTCTGCACGCCCTCTTGCACGCTCGCTCTGCGCGCTGCACGCCCGCTCTCTCCTGCACCGTCCCAGCCCACGCGCGAGCTTTTCCGCACACTCCCCGCACGCTCATCCCGGCGAAAAACCCGTGAAAGCGACTCCCCAGGAAGACGGGGGGGGGGACGGAAGAGGGGAGCTCTGGGTGGGATCAATAGCAAATTAGTGACTTTACGCCGAGCAGAATGATGCGGGGTGGCGGGAGCGGGGCCACGCCGGTGTCCCCGCTTGCTTGCCGCCGCAGCGCCCACGTGTGTGTCCCCCCCCCCCCGCTCAGGCGCTGATCTCCACGGCGCTGGCCTCCTCTTGCTCCCGGATGATGTGGACGCCGGCAGTCCGCAGCAGGCGCGGGGCGCCGCGGGAACGCACCGGCGAACCTGGCGGCGACCTGTGGGTCCGCGTTGAGGCGGGCGAGCGGGCCGGCGAGCGGTGGTACCGACGAGCCGAACGCCCCACCGGGCCCGGCGAGCGGCCGGCCGCCGGCGAGCTGGTGTAACCCGGTTCCACCGTGCCGCGGGGTTCAGGCGGCGAATCCTCCTCTGCCTCCGGGGAATCCTGCCGAGAGCCAAGGGTCGGGAGCCATAGGACGGGACGGGACAGGATGGGATGGGATGGGATGGGACCGGCTGGGACGGGATGGGATGGGATGGGATGGGACGGGACGGGATGGGATGGGATGGGATGGGATGGGATGGGACGGGACGGGATGGGATGGGATGGGATGGGATGGGATGGGACGGGATGGGATGGGATGGGACGGGACGGGACGGGATGGGATGGGATGGGATGGGATGGGATGGGATGGGATGGGACCGGCTGGGACGGGACGGGATGGGATGGGACGGGACGGGATGGGATGGGATGGGACGGGATGGGATGGGATGGGATGGGATGGGACGGGACGGGATGGGACGGGATGGGATGGGATGGGACGGGATGGGATGGGATGGGATGGGATGGGACCGGCTGGGACGGGATGGGATGGGATGGGATGGGACGGGACGGGATGGGATGGGACGGGACGGGATGGGATGGGATGGGACGGGACGGGATGGGACGGGATGGGATGGGACCGGCTGGGACAGGATGGGATGGGATGGGGTGAGCGGGCAAAGCCCACGGGAGCCAGCGCTGCCGCACCCGGCCGGCGGGCTGCCAGGGTGCTCACCTTGTCCTTGAGGATGTACAAGGCCACCGGGTTTTTGCGCTCGTGCTCGCCGCTCCGCGGGATGCCCTCGGCTGCGTGGAGGCAAGGCCTTGCTTACCGCACCAGCGGCGTTGGCGCTCCCCAACCCGCCGCGCCGGGGCCAGCGCTCACTCACCCTCGTGCTTCAGGCGTTCCTCGTCCTGCTCGGCATATTCGGAGGCCGGTTGGGGCTCTGCTTGCCGCTTCTCCCTGGGGAGGGGACAGAGATTGGGGCGGCAGCGGCGCGGCGGGACGGCCTGCAGCTCGGCTGGGGAAGGGCCCAGTGCTGGGGTGAGGGAGAAGATGGGGGGGGGATGGGATGGGACTGGAGAGATGGATCAAAGCAAGATGGGATGGGGTGGGGTGGGACGGGACAGGATGAGATGGCATGGGATGGAGTGAGACAGGACAAGATGGGATGGGATGGGATGGGACGGGATGGGATGGGATGGGATGGGATGGGAAGGGATGGGAAGGGATGGGATGGGACGGGATGGGACGGGATGGGACGGGATGGGAAGGGATGGGATGGGATGGGAAGGGATGGGATGGGACGGGATGGGACAGGACGGGATGGGATGGGAAGGGATGGGATGGGATGGGATGGGATGGGACGGGATGGGATGGGATGGGATGGGACGGGACGGGATGGGATGGGAAGGGATGGGATGGGACGGGATGGGACGGGATGGGATGGGATGGGATGGGACGAGACGGGATGGGATGGGATGGGACGGGATGGGACAGGACGGGACGGGACGGGATGGGATGGGATGGGATGGGATGGGATGGGACGGGATGGGATGGGAAGGGACGGGATGGGACGGGATGGGACAGGATGGGATGGGATGGGATGGGATGGGATGGGATGGGATGGGATGGGAGTGATGAGATGCGATGGGGTGGGATGGGACGGGACAGAGTGGTCAAGGCAGGATGGGATGTGACAGGATTAGAAGAGATGAGGCAAAACAAGACTAAATGGGATGAGGCAAGATGGAACCAGAGGAGATGGGATGGCATAGGTCAAGACAGGATGGGATGGAACAGGATGAGGTGTGATGGGACAGGACAAGATAGGATGGGAAGAGATGAAACAGGATGGGATGGCAGAAGACACGAAGAGACAATATGGGGCAAGATAAGAGAACCCCCTTTGGCTCCCGTGTTACCCCCAGCCTTACTTCTTGGAGGGTTTCCAGCAGGCACAAACGGTCACCAGGGTGACAAGGAGGAAGATGCCACCCGTGGAGAGGATGATGTAGAGGGAGCTCCGGCCTGGGGGAGAGGAATGAGGAGGGACAACCCCTCCAAAATTTTAGCTGGGATCATCTACAAGGGATGGCCAGCCCCACGGGCGCAGGAGGGGGGAGCGGGTGGCTTACGGTAGACGGTGAGCTTCACGGGGACACTGCGGCCATGGCTGATGGGGTTCTCCACCAGGCAGCTGTAGACGTCGTCGTCAGCCATGAGGACACGGGTGATGGTGAGGATCTTCTGGTCAGGGGAGAGGAGCAGGCGGGAGTCGTTGCTCAGCGGCCGCCCGTCCTTCAGCCAGGTGTAGGTGGGCTTGGTGCCGTTCTCATGTGAACAGTTGAGAGTGAAGAACTCGCTGAGCTCCAGCACCGTTGAGGAGGCCACCAGCACTTGTGGCTTTGAGATGGGGACTGCAGGCAAGCAGGGGAACCACGGTGATGCTGTGTCTTGGGGGATGGCTGGGCCCAGGGGACAGGAAGGGGGACACCAAAATCCTACCAGGGGTGTAGCTTGGCTGCTTGGGATGGCCAAAACCCCCAAACCACCTCCCAGTCAGAGAAAGCCCTCCCCAAAAGTGGCCAAGGAAGACATCCCATGGAGAACCCCGTCTCCACTGGACATCCTCTTTGCTCTTACTGTCCACGGTGAGGTTGATGGTCTTCTCGCCGGTGAAGGTGTCATCGGTGATGGACACCTCCACCTCATAAGCTCCTTCGTCGGCCAGCTGCAAGGGGCTGATGAGCAACGAGCCATTCTCCAGCACCCGGATGCGGTCACGGTAATCGGGCCGTAGGTTGCCGATGATCTCAGTGCCAATAGACTGGACGACGGTGACGGGCTTGTCGCGCTTCACCTGCCACTTGACCACCGGCTTGTCGGCGCTGGCGCTGGCGTAGCGCACCGACAGCAGCGCTGCTTTGCCCGCCGTGCCGCGGACCAGCGGCGTGGGGCTGGTGATGTTCACCCCTGCCAGCAGACCTTGGGGTGGGGAGAAAGCTGCCTGGACCTCGGAGCCCGGAGGAAAACAGGGAATCCCCCTTCCCAGAGCTGTGCTGAGCACTTGCAAAGCACATTACAGGTGCTGGGGTGCCCAAGGGCCGTGCAAGCACCCTGTTTGCATAGGCCTTTGCAAAAATGCATGCCACACCCTCAAAATTGCGGGGAGGGGGGGGGCTGGGAGCGTGCCTGTGCTGATGCAACCCTTTGCAAAATGCATGCCTCGTTCCCAAAAATGCATCGGGCGTGGGAGGTGGGTCAGTGTAACCCTTTGCAAAGATGCATGCATCGACCCTAAAAGGTGCATGGGTGGTCGGAGATCTCCTGTTGCTGGGTTGATGCAATGCTCTGTAAAAATGTATGCATTTCCCTCCAAAATGTGCCGGGGGGGGGACGGGGGGGGCGGGAGCTCTCTTGCAGCTGGGTTGAGGCAACCTTCTGCAAAAATGCATGCATTGCCCCAAAACCTGCATCGGTGGTGGGAGCGGTCCTGCAGCGGTGTTGATTCAGCCCTTTGCAAAGATGCATGCGTCAACCCCCTAAAATTGCATGGAGGGTGAGAGCCCTCCCGTGGCTGGATCAATGCAGTGCTTTGCAAAAACAAACGCACCACCCCCCAAAACTCGCATGGAGGGTGAGAGCGCTCCTGCAGCTGGGTGGTTGCAACCCTTTGCAAAAACTCATGCACAGTTCCCCAGAATTGCATCAATGGTGGGAGTACTCCTGCAGCTGGGTTGTTGCAACCCTTTACAAAGATGCATGCCTCGCCCCGAAATTGCATGGTGGGTGGGAGTGCTCCTGCACCCTCGTTGGTGCAACCCTTTGCAAAAATGCATGCATTGACCCCCAAAATGGCATGGGAGGGTGGGAGCCCTCCTGCGCCCAAGTTAATGCCATGCTTTGCAAAGATGTGTGCGTCACCTCAAAAATTACGGGGGGGGGGGAAGTTTTTGCTTCTCATCCCCAGCCTGTTTGGATGCTCCGGGCCAGCCAAACCCCCAAATGCAAAACTGCATCACAGGGGAGAGTGCACGTGCATTGCTCCTCATCGCTGGTTTTAAGCCAAAAAGGGCAGGGAAAAAGTGGGAAAAAAAAATGATTTTTTTTTTTTTTTTTTGAGAGGGGGGACTCCCCAAAACAGCCTCTGTCCCTGAAACACCGCAGCCTCATCCCCCCTTCTGCCAGCCCAGGGGTCCCCTCTGTGAACCCCCATCGGGATGCCATCATCTGATGGTGAACAAACCCCATATTGAAGGGGGGGGGGAGGCGGGTAAAGCAGCTGGGGAGGGCGAAGCAGGAGCAAGAAAGGCTTTAAACAAGCCCGAAAAGTCATGGGACCTATTGGTATGCAGCATCCGTCTGTCCGTCCTTCCCAGCAGCGCCGAGCTCAGCCCCGAAAACATGCCCTGACCCGAAAAATTTAGGGGGCTCCCGTAGGGAAAACCCAAGCATGGGATGAGGAGGCAGCTTTTAATACATCCTTGCACCCAGTGCACCCCCCAAATCGCTGCTCTTTAACCATTTCTTCCCTTTTTTCACTCAGTTGCTACTTTTTTTCTCTGCTCTAGGTAATAAATTTGGGAGTTAATTCATAAATCAGGCAATATTCCCATTTCCTACAGCATTCTTGACTCAGGGATGGAGATCTCCCTCGCTTTCTGGCTGGCTTTTGCTGAAAATAACCCAACAAAAAAATCCTAATTTTCTTACTATTTCACGAAATAAATCCCTGTATCTTTGGAAAAAGCATAGCAGCATTTTTTGTGGTGCCCTGGCTGCAACCCAGGTGCTTTTTTGGGGTGCAAATCAAAGTTGGTAGCAATGTAAAACCGACTGGCTTTGCATCCTCGGCTCATCTGGAGGGAAAATGGGGCCTCCCCGGGGCTGGTTTTGGGTCCAGACTTTGGTAAAATGGTTCGAAATTGTTGCAAGTGATTTTTTGCATTGCTGCGCCCAGGATGGGATGGTTTGGGGCTCATTGAACCCCAGAATGTAGGTATTAAGGGAATAAATGATGGATGCAACCAGGGTTGCCATGCAGTGGGGTAAACAGGAGCAAACTAGAAACGGGGTAAAAAATAGGCTTTTTGGGAAAGCTGATGGATGGGTAATAAAATAGATGTGGGGATGTTGAAAAATTAACAGAAAAGGGGTTTTTGGGAAGATGAAAAGCTGGGGAGAAGCTCGGGGGGGCGGTGCCAGATCCACCCCCCCCAGAAGGTCCCACTTGGCTCCCAAAAAGTGTTTTTCCCAGATTTTATTCCTAATTTCCCCCCCCTTTTTTTTTTCCTCTCCCAGGCGGAGGGGATACTTGACATCGCAGCAACCCCCCCCACAACCCCCCCCTTCCTCGGGTACCACCACCCTCCTCCCCCCCTCCCCCCCCATCTTCCATCCAGATACCCCCCAAAACCATGGAAAAATGGGAAAAAACACGGAAAAATGGGAAAACCCCCTACCTGCGTGCAGCGCCAGGAGCCAGGTCACCGGCAGCAAGCAGGGGGGAGCGGGGTGGCCCCACGGGGCAGCCGGCGCTCCCCACATTTCAGGCAGGCTCGCCCCCCGAATTGCTCCGCTTCCCCACTCCGGGCACGTCCCTCGGCGCTCCCGGCTTGGCGCTCCGCCCGGCTAATTTATTTTTTTTCTTTTTTTTTTTTTTTTTTTTGTGTGTGTTCTTTCCTTTCTCAATAGAGCCCTGTGTCCTGGCGGCTTTCGCTTCCCTGGCGGCCTCGAGCTGACATTTATTTGGGGGAAAAACACTCAGATTTTCAATTTCCCCACGCCGTCACAACCCCCCATTTCCATGTTTTCCCCATCCTGTGGAGATGCTCGAGGTTGGGAGCATCACCCCATCGAGCCTGGCTAAGGTTTGCCATCGCCTCTGAGGACAATCCATTGGGATTTAGGGCTCTGAGCATCCCAGCAAGTTGAGTTTTGGGGGAGGGGGGATTTTACAAAGCTGGAACACCCCCCCCCGCCCCCCCAATGCAGCCCCCCCACCCCTTTTTTTTTTTTTATCTTTCCAGGCTTTAAGACGAAGCAGCCGTCGCATCCAGGCTTCATTCCAGCTCCAGTGTCAATTAGCGCCGTTCCCGGGGCATCGCTGAATAGGGCAGCCAGGATGTGGGGCAGGATGCCCGGAGCCACTTCCCCCCCCCCCCCCTCTCTAAGACCTGCCAAGCTCATCACCCCAGTGAGCCACCACCCGCCCTCCCCCCCCCCCTTCCCCGAGGGGGCTCCCTGGCCCCGAAAAGGGGTCGAGACCTCAAGCATCCTGCTCCAGCGGGATAAAGATGCTTGGGGGGGGGGGGGGGGCAACATTATGGGGGGATGGTGTTTTTTGGGGGGGGGACTTTTGGGAAGGACGCTATAGGGAGATGCTCTAAGGAGGGATTTGGTGGGGTGCTATAGGGAGATGCTCTGGGGGGGGGTGTGCTGTGGGGAGATATACTTTGGGAGGGTTCAGGAATGCTATGGGGGGGGGGGCACGATAGGGATATTTGGGGGGGGGGGATGCCGGGGGGGCGGTATTTCAGGGGGTTGTTTCGGGGATGCTCCGGGGGTGGGGCGCGCAGAGCAGTCACCGCCCCCCCCCCCCCCCCCCCCCCCCCCCCTTTTATCGCCGGCGGCGGGACGCGAACCTGCGACCCCCGGCCCGGGGTGGGGGGGAGGAGGGGGGGCTCAGGGAGCGGGGGGGCGTGGGCGTGGGCGTGGCCAGGAGGGCGGAAGTGGCGCCAGGATTCAAAGCGGCGGCTGAGGCGGAAGCGGCGGTTGGTGTGGGGGGGGGGTGGGGGGGACGGGGCACGGTTTTGGGGGTCAGAGGAGGGGGGTGTAAGGGGTGCTGGGGGGGGGGGTAGGAGCACTCAGCTGCGAGGGGTTGGGGGTCCCCATTCAGTACGGGGGGGGGGGGGGTGCTGCAGGGCTGTTGCGGGGAGCCCTGGCGTTGGGTAACTGGGGGGGGGGGGGGAGAGGGGGGCGCTGTGGGTGCGGGTCGGGGTGCTTGGGGGGGGGGGGGTGTGGGGGGGGGCACGCTCACCTCTACCCCTTCCCCAGGGCCGGGATGTTGCCCCCCTGGAAGGGGGGGGCCGGGGAGCACCCGGGGGGTCGCCAGGCGGGACCCCCACGGCAGAGCTGGCGGGCGCTCGCCGAGAGGAACCAGAGCGTGGCCCCCGTGGGTGTTTGGGTGGAGAGTGCCCCGTGGGACAGCCGGGCTTTCGTGAGTGTCACACACCCCCCACACCCCCCCCCAGGCACCCTCCCGGCTCGGGGTCCTGCCAGGGGTGTCCCCAACTTCCCCCAGTTGCGGCGGTCGGGGCTGGCAACAAACATTTATCTCGGTTTGAAGGCAGCTGGGAGCACTGCTCTGAGGAAAAATAACCCATTTGAATGGTTTTTTTTTTGAGTAAGGTCAAAAGCCACCAGGGTGTCCGTGTAGCTTGGTGTCCTGTTTATATGGCCCCGGAGCTGATTACCCTCAAACTGCATTTTTTTTTTTTTTTTAGGAGAAACACATCGGTTTTTAAACATCGGCCAGGTGGGGAATCCAGCCAGTGCCATAATCAGCTGCTGTTGGTTGTGTAGTTATTGGTGCTGCGAGCTCTGCGCTTTTAATTTTAGCTGGACCTACAGATTGTCAACATGTTAGCCTTCCAGCGTAGGTAGTGCCTCTAAAACTTGGCAGGTTTGTGCCCCCCGCCCCGCCATGCCGGGTTTTTTCCTCTATTTTTTTTTTCCCATTCCTGGCTGCTTTTTGGTGTACAAGCACTGGGTTTAGAGCTCCGCTCTGTAGCTTGACATTTGAGGTGCCCACGCTGTACCCAGCTGACTGGTCCCCCCTCATATCGATGCTGCTCTTCACCTTCCCATCCATCCATAAAGGATATTGGTGAACCATGATTTTATTCCACATTGCTTTTTTTTTTTTTAAAAAAAAAAAAGTTGAATGTTTCAGGCTCTGGAGCCAATCTCTGCTGTACCCTATTAGAAACACTTAAGAAAATCTTTATCGATGCTTATCTCAGGGATTTCTGCTTTGAGGGTTATTATAAGAGGACTAAAAGTGCATTAAATATAGGATGATGAGTTCAGTCCCCTGTAATTAACATCTAAACGTTACAGAAGCTTCTGCCCTTCTGAGATGATTTATTTCCATACTGTAATTTAAATCCTGAAAGGTTGAGATAATATATGGAAATGAATCATCTCCATATTCCACATAACTTCCACCTCGGCACCAAGAAACTTGGGGGGGGGGGGGGGGGGGAGCTGAACTATTCCTGACTGCTTTGGGGGGGCCTGCACACTCCCAGTCCTTCCCCCAGCACAGGAGCTTTCAGGTGCCTTCAGGTGTGGATAAAAGCACACGGCGTTATCAGAACTTATTTAATATACTTCTAGATGCCAGCGGATCATATTAAAAATATATATATTAATGCCTCCTGCATCAGAATTGCTAATGAGGTTGCCAACGGGGAGTGTAGCAAGCTGTCAATGGCGCAGTTCATGTAGCTCTGGCTTGGTTTCATCGTTAACGGTGCATATTTCTCCCCGTCTTGGTGCTTTGCTTGTGCTGACCTTGCTTTGCTGCTGGTAACGTTCCTGGCAGGCGGCAGGATGGCAGGAGCATTCGCCCCGGTGTTTATTAAGTTGATTTTTCAGTCTTGCCCTTTTTCTCTGACCTTTCAGACTCTCACTTTTCTTGCTTTAGGCTGTGCTGCAGTGACAGCCAGAAGAGCGATACCAGTGTTCTTTAAACACTGGTAATATCAGCAGAATTGCTTGGCATGACTTCAAGTGAGAACCTTAAAAAAAAAAAAAAAATTTTTTTTCATTTTTAGGTCATTGCTTTTAATCTTCAGATTCAGAAAAACATTCCCAGAGCTGCAGGCCTGTCTGTGCTGTGCTCTGCAAACTGCTTCCCTGATATGCTACCAGCCTTGCTCTTGCAGACCATCCTTTTGGATCCAGGCTTTGGATGTTTGATCACCCTTTCATAGGAGCAGGAGCTGGGAGTTGCTGTATGAGGCTGCCTTCTTTTTTCATTGTGTGCATTGCAAAGAGTTAGAGGAGGAAGGGTGCACGCTCTGTATCTGGCCAGCTAGATTCAATCCAAGCTCATAATAATTCAGTAGATACTGTCCAAGCTGTTGTTGCACAGATTTAGAGAAAAAACATCATTTGCTCTGGGTGCTGTTTGCCTGGCTTGTGGTGTGGGAAGGGAAGATGGAATACAAGCCACTCTAACGCTGCGACGTATGTAGCAAAAATCACATGAAATCTGCTTTCACCTCTTGCAGGCTTCAGCATTTCAGGTGGAGGAGGAGCTGAAGGAGCAGCAACGGGAGAAGGCAGCCAGCCTGAGACGCTTCCAGGGAGAGGTGAGGCGGCGGGTGAACCAGCAGGTCAGGATGCAAAGAAAGCAGCAGCTGCAGAAGTCGTACGAAGCGGTAAGCAGGTCTCTGTCCCTGCCTTGCCAGGAGTCTTGCAGGAGAGACTCCTCTGAAAGCAGTGTAGATCCAATAAAAAAAACCCCACTGGGTCTCAAGTCAAGATCTTGATAAGAAAAAGCAAGCAAACTCGTGGTCATGGCAGACCCCAGGGCTGCAAACGGTGTCCCCTCAAGTGAGGTCAGTGTGACACCTTGATTCACTCTGGCAGTGAAGGTGCTTTAAGCCCTTTGCCTTCCTGTGGAAAGGTCACTGGCTCTTGCCAGAATCGCACGGAGTTAAAAAATAGCCAGGCCAGAGTTGTGAATGATGTGGATGTCTCCTGGTTGCCTCTGAAGCAAAGCAGCTTATTTCTCCTATCCCCCTTTTCCAGGGCAGTCAGTTCACCAGCAACACTTTCACACTGTCTCCACATTCCCCGCCCTGTGGGATTGTTTTAGGTTATCCTGTGAATATATTTAATCCTTTCTGCTTTTAAACAACTGCCAGGGAGACTTGCCAGAAACTGACTGTGAAGCAAGAAGGGAATGCACTGAAATGTCAACGGTTTTTGGCCACCCTTGGGGTGTTTGGGCTGTTTCCAGGGCTCGGGAGGCATGGTTGAGTGGGGCTGTCCTCATGTAACTGCTCCAAACTGAAAGCCTGTGGACGCCTTCAGCCCCTGAGAGCCTGATGTGCCCCCTCTCTGCGTGGAGAGCAAAAAAAAAAAATCCAGCCCAAGCAATGCCGCCGGATTGAGCCAGCAATTCCCACGCGGCGTGGGTGATGGTTTGAGATTTCCACGTGGCTTTTTAGCTCTGGGGGGGGGGTCTGTGTCCCGGCAGGCGGAGAGGGAAAGCAGCCTTGTCATGCAGTACTCGGGCTCCGTGCTGCGTTTGACCCCCGGGAAGAGCACGTGCCTGTTCCAGAGCCACCCCGTGCCCACCATCTGCGGGCCCGGCGCTCGTGCCGCGCCAGCGCAGCAGCAGGGGATGCAAAGCCAGCCCTTCCAGCAGCGAGCCGCCGAGGTGAGCGGTCCCCTCCTGCATTTATCATCCCTCCTTCGTCCCGCTGGGTGCTTGTGGTTTGAAATGGAGAACAGGCAATAGCTTTTTCGTTTGCAATGCATCCCTAGTAGTTTAGGGTTGTTTGTTTTTTTTTTTTTATTAATGAAAGGTTGGCTTACGTTTTCACTCTGGTTTACTCGATATTGTTGTACTCCTCCATAGCACTCATCAGAGCATCAAAAAGGATAGTTGATGTCTTCCTGGAGGATGCTGTGCTTGAACTTGCCCTGCTGCTTGCAGTTAGAGTGCATTTTCCCTCTCTATGCTGTGCAGGCATGTCGTGTCAGAGCGGTGGCACTAGGTGGTGCCACCTCATTGCAGCTTCTTTCCTGCAGGCCCAGGAGTATGGATCAGGAAACCTTGGAAAACCTGCCTTAGGGACTGTTTTAAGCCTTTTTTAATAGTGATGCTTGTGCTGCATTTGGCATTTTATAAAGCACGTGTGTTCATCTAGGAGTTATTCCAGTTGAAGCACTGCTTCCCATGGGGTGGAGAATCACTTCTGGCTGGACACCAGGTGGGACAGTCAGGGATCTGGCACTTCTGGCATCTCAGCAAAGTGTTTTGGGAGCGGCTGAACTGTAACTGAGCCCTTTACCTTGCCTGGATCAGCATTTCAGTGCACTGGGCAGCTCTGAAAGACACCTTGGGTTGCAGGCTACCTTATACCTAATTGTGAACCTGATTATTGAGTTGGGCTCCCTTGATGAAGCACTTTGGCTGGAGCAGGGTACGTTAGGAGACCTCTGCTGTGCAGCTAAGCTTCTTGCCGTAGCCCCTCGTGGAAAGCAGCTTTTTTTTGTCTTGCCTTTACCTTCCCTCTTAACGGCAGCTTAGCAAAACCATGAAGCAAGTTCGGCACAGGCTGGCATCCTGCAAAACCACGCCACAAGGAGCAGGTCCCCCCGAACTCCCCGGCGGTGTCTGGAGGCGAGAGGTGAGCGAGGGAGGCCTGGGCTAGGGTAAGAGGAATTACCTTGCAAAATGTTGACGTTCTGGCTGTAGTTAGCAAATCCGAAGCAGAGTTCAGTGAATTTCTCCAGAAGAAGTGAAACAAACTGGGCTTTTGTGTCCCACCTGGTGATTAGCCTGTGGATTTCAGTGGCCCGAGGGCCCTGTCCTCTGTTCTCGCTGCCTTCCCTGAAAGTCAACAGGATAAAGTGAGTGAAAACCTCACTGTTTGCAGGGACTAATGAGAGGTAAACTAGGAAACAAGAATTCAAAAAAGATTTTTTTGAAAGGCTGAGATTGTGCTCTGGGTATCCTGGAGGAATGTGATGACCAGCCCTCCCCTTAAGTGCCCTTGTGTCTTCAACAAACCTTAGCAACTCTTTCCCTTGCATCAATCCCTTGTTTTCTGTGGGCAGCAGATATCTGGAGGGCTTTTCCTCCCTCAGGGCTGGCTTCTGGTAGAGAGTTGTTGGCATGCATCTCCTTTTCTTCAGGTAGTTCATAGGACCCACATAATGAGGTCAGTCCTGAGTGCCTCACCTCTTTTTTCTGTTGAATTTCATCCTGCTTTTTGTTACTTCAGTTCTCAAGAGCAGCTTTGCGTCACTGCTATTATTGCACTTTCAATGCCAAGACCTCTCTTAAACTGATGCACTTTGTCCCTCCTGGAGAGCACCAGCAGCAAACCAACCTGGTATTTTTTCTTCCTGCCTCTTCCAGAGCTAGTTTCCTGCCCATCTTGCAATTCTTCATTCCTATCTCTTTCTTGGGTTCGCCAAAGGTGAAGTAGATCTTGGCTGGCTGTTATCTAGAAAATACCTTTTATATAAGGGCTGGTCCAGTTCTTCCTCCTCTGTGTACTGTTGGATTTCTGTTCAAGGAAGTCAGCTTTGCGAACAAGAGTTACAGTAACTATATAATTACGGGCTCGAAAACAATTTCCAGCACTAAAGGTACCTTCTGCTTAACTCCTCAGTGCATTCAGGCTGCTCAGCAAGATGGGGTGATTCATTACTTCTCTATTAGCAGCACTGAAGGCTCGCATGAATAATAAAGCTGCTGCCTGTGCAAGCCAGAGGGTTACAGAAGACAGCAAGTGGGATGCGGGGGAGTTCTGTGGCGAGTCATCCACAGCAGGGAGAAACAAGGCTGGGAGGGATCGGGATCGGGGCCATCCTCTCACCTGAACCTTACTGCCACTACAGTTAATCCATGCTTCTCCTCACAGCTCTGGCAAGGAGGTTTTAACCACTTCCCTAGGCAATTTTATTCCAAGAGGAATATACTGATTTATTGCATTACTCTGTTTTATTACTCCAAGATAGCTGAGAAAAAAAGCTCTGTGATTAATCTGAATCTTTCTCCCTATATGAAGGTTTGCCATGTTCACAGCTAGGCAGGACAGCAGCTCCTTCCCTTCTCTGTAGAATTAACTACCTTGGTAATTGCTGCCATAGTGCACTGCCTTGCTTTTTGCTTTTGCCCTGGTTGAATTTCCTTCTGCTGTCTATTACAGCTGATTTCTTTGGCTTGAAGCCAAATGTTCTCAACTACTTCTGCAACTTCAAGTGGCTTGGTGGGGTTGGTAAATGTAATCAAGATGCTTCTTTCTTCCATCATCCAGGCCAATAATTAAATTATCAAGCAGACCCCACCTAGTTCTCACTCTGTTTTTGTGCAGTGAACTCCTGAGACTGGATCTGGGTAGTGTTTTTAATCAGTATTGCACCTCTGATGTAATAATTTCATCTAACAGATATTTCTTTACACAAGTGTTGAATTAGGCCACGTCAAAAGCTAAACTAAAATCGAGAGGTCTTCTGCTGCGCTTTGCCTGAGGCCTCCTTTTTCTGTTGTAGGAGAAATTCAAACTGGCTAGACATGACTTGCTCTTGACAAATTTATGCTGGTTGCTGTTTATTTTGTTTTCTAGCAGTTTACAAGCAGTTTGCAAGGTGATTTCATCTTGTTTTTCCAAAAGTCAAGCAGCTAAACCCTTGAGGCTAAAGTCTTCTCTTTAGTATTTCCTTCTCCCCTCCTTTATTTAAAGATTGACACTCTGTATTGCCCTTTTCTTACAATGTGGACCTCCACAGATTTTGGGGGTGGGGGGTGAGCTGTTAGCAGTTTGTCTGCCTCTCCTGGCAGTAACCCAGGGCAGGTCCTGCCTGCTTAAAAACCTCAGCTCCTAGGAATAATCTGACTCTTCCCAATAGTAATCCAAGATTTTTCTTGCTCCTCCTATTAGTCCAGAGCAAGCCTTTGGCTGAATATTGGTGCCCAGAAGCATGAAACACTGTTGTTCCTTGTGTCCTCTGATAGCTGTCCTTTGGGAGTAGTGAGTCCTTCAGTCTCTTTCACTAAAGCCTGACTTGTTACCTTGATCTCTCTTATTTTACTTAGAGCTTTGACCTTTCTGGCACTTGTTTTGTTTATTTGTCCCTGTGTGCTTGTGTTGTCTCCTGCATGATTCCTTCAGTAATCTGACCCGTGCTCCACTTCCTCCATGCTCCCATGGATCGCGGGTGCAAGAAGAGTTTGGGATTTAGCCAGGGTTGTCTTGCACTGCGCTGCTTGGCTTCCCATTCTAGCCGGGTAGTTTGCATTTGCCCAGTTTAAGGGAACTGTTGCCTCTCCTTCAGTCCTGTTTTCTGCATTTTTTTTTTTAACTTCATTCCTCTGAAGAGTTGCATTCCCTGCAATCAATTGTCCGTGTTCCCAAAATCGTTGCTCTTCCTTTCTCCCAGAGATTTCTTCTCAGGTCAAAAGCATCTGAAGAGTTTCTTCCTTGCTTTCCCAAGCAGATACCTAGATGGTAATTGCGTGGAAATGACCTGTCCAGTGTTTCAGATGACCCTGTTCGTCAAGTCTTCAGCAGCTCTGCCTTTAGGGTTTGCTAGACTGCTGTAGGTTCCCAGCATGGCAGCACCCACGTTCTTTTCCCCAACTGATCATTCCCCAGAGTTGGTGGGTTTTTCCCACAGTTTCATTTCCTTCTACCTTCAGGTAGACCGACAATAACCGTTCCTCTCTTTCATGGTCCTCACCGAAGCAGCAATTCTGTGTTGTGTTTAGGTCATTGCAGGATTGATAGTGATTCCTATGCCTATCAAATAATTTAATGTTCAGACTAACTCTGGGCTCTGTCCTTCCTGTATTGCAGCAAAGCCACCTCAAGGGATCCCTTGTGTGACCTGCTTTCTTCCTGTTGATCCATCCTCTCCCGCTGTCAGCAGCCCTACTTTTCCCTTCCTAGCATGCTGAAGGGACATCAAGGCAAGAAAAAAAAAAATAAAAAAATCCTGGCTCCAAGCTTGCTTCTGGCATTTTACTTTTTTAGTTTGTAGGAAACAATCTGCTGCCTCTCAAAATATTGTTAATTGCCACTGGGGAGCCTGCCCACTTACCATCTGAAGGAGTGTGCTGCCTGCTAGGGTGTCACTCCAGAGATCCCACCAAACCCCCAACTCCTTGCAGTTGTGAAACAGTGCCTGGAAAGGTCTTTTGCTTGTCTTTCCTTCGCCCCACACGCGTCTGTCCCTCTTGTTTCTGCAGTTAGTGAGAACACAGGCACGAGTTACCCAGCTAAATTCAGATCTTCTAGCTCTTGTGCCCTGCGGTGGTGCTTGAGCACATTGCTTGCCAGATCTCAACTGACTCTACGGAACAAGCACCCTCGGGTTAAAGCTACTTCCTACCCCTGCATGAGGGTGTTGAATTTGCCCTTGGCACCAAAGCGGTCGCATTTGAATTCCATGTTTACACCAGTCTCCTCCCTTCTTCAGAAACCAGAGTCTTGCAAGACAGCCACGGTGCCCACAGAAGATGGGAACGAGGAAATGCTTCTGGCAGCACATCACGATCTTCCAGCCGAACTACAAGACCAGGGGACAGCCCCGTGTCAGGCTGAGCAAGACGACGACTTCTACATCAAAATTGAATTTGAGAAAGTAAGACTTGTACAGGGCTGGGCCAGTTAAATCGTTGGGATTTGGGTTTATTTCGCCAGAGATGGTGAAGTAGTAGAGCAGTTGCTCCCTCGGGCCTGGTTAACTCTTGAGCCTACTGTCATCAAAACAGGCTCAAGAGTGTCAGACTAAGTGAGATTGGCGGCTTTTGTTTCGCTGCTTTCATCTTGCAGCTGTGGCTTCAAAGGGGGTTTTATTTGTGCCTGCCTCGTGGTGCCAGTTGGCTGGCGCTCAGCAGAAATCTGAAACTGAGCGTGTGCAGTCGCTTCGTGGGCTCAGCCGAGCCCCACGGTGCCACCAGTGGGACCTGCAACTGCCTCTGCTCCGGCGAACGCACTCGGAGGCAGCAGCAGAGTGGAAGAGCTGTGGGTGGTGCATGGAATGGCCTGGAAACCCCCTAGAAAAGAGGAGGAAAAAAAAAAAAAAAAAAAAGCTTTACATCAGACAAGTGAGCTGGCTGTGACAATTCCTGTGCCTTGGGCTGGCAAAACACCTCCCTTAGAGGTTCTGTGAATCTGTCTGCTTGTGAGGACTGAGCTGATGTGTTTACTGATTCATCTTTTGTTTTTAGGCAGACTTGTTAAGCATTTGAGGCCTGGAAATGTTTTGCCTTGATTACCTGGAGTAGTTAGCCAATACTTTATGGCTATAGCAGCATGTGCCCAACCTTAGCTGGTGATTAGTCCCAGAAATACTGGCTTAAATACTGAGTGGAAGGAAAGCAGCAGAGGTTTATGCTGAGGCTTTGGGAGACAAGACATTGGCTGTTGAATTCCCCTGGCGCTTCTGTTACTGTTATTGTTATTTGTATTATTGTTATTTTTCTTGCACTTAGTGAAGTTTGTAACGGAAATTTGGAGAGGGGAGGTATGAATCTGTATTTAAGCTAAACCAGAAACCTCCTCCAAGGATATCTTCAGAAGTGTTTTGACAAAGCTTTGGTGCTCAGGCTCCTGCACAGAGATGTCACGTGTGTGTCTCCTATAGTCAACCTGTGCCCTGAAAAAAAGGCACAGCTGGTCAGTGGGTTACCCTGTTGAGGAATGCAGGGATCATCATAGAGAACTCTCCTCCAAGGAGGAGTATTTTGCCAAGGGAAGATGAGAAACTTGACTGTGAAGATGTTAATGCTACTTTTTTACATTATTTTCCAGTTCTCTGGTGGACCGGTGAAAGACTTGAGCTTGCCCAAACCTCCCCAGGGGCTGCACACCAGCTACCAAGCTCCCCACATACTCTGGGCTGGTGTAGACCAAGAGGAAACCAAGAAGCAGGTTTGTCTGCTGGAGCCAAGTCCTCATTGTTTCGTCTCCCTTTCAGGACTGAAAGGTATTGAGCCCAGGGGATGCTGCTGGCTCAGATAAGAAGCCTCAAGAGCAGCGTTAATGTATGAAGCATCTGCTGGGTTTGTAAGTTTGTCAGCACTGATTGTGTCTCAGGTCTTGGGGAAACCTATCTGGTGCTCCTCCCGCTCAGTCTGGGCTCTGAATAACACCAAAGGGTTGGAGGAGAAATGGGCTTCGTTCGTTTTGCCCGGTGAAACAAAGGCGTCGCTTTCTGTAGTTGCATGGAGAGAGACAGCAGCTGCCAAAAATGCTTAAAAAAAAAAAAAAAGCAACAAAACCCACTTTTACCATCTTTGGGTATAAGGCTGGGAATGTAAAGGTTTCTACAGTATCAGCAACTAGCAGGCAGCAGGATGGTGGCTTTCAAGCACAGACTGCAGGCCTGATGCTATGTCTGATTTAATGATGAGGATTTACCAGCCTGCATCCAGGACAGTTTGGCTCATGCAAATAGATGATGTTTTTCTCAAATGCCTAGAGGAAGTGACTTTTATTTTCCTGCTTCCTTCTGACGTGGAGTACTTCCCTCTTCTTTCGTCATCGATTTTTTTTCTGTAAAACCCGAAAGGACTTTGAACGAATTGCATTTTTTTTTTTTTGTTGCTGTTGTTTCATATGTGCATTTTTCCAACAAGCTGATCCAAAATCCAGTTGTGGTTTCTAGACAGCGTGACAGCAGCTGGGCCTCGTCAGGCTGCTCCTTCCCTCAGCAGTTCCCTCTGCCCCTTGCTTTTTATCTCCTTGGCTCTGATCCACCCTGAGATAACTGGTTTTGCAGCACTCTCTTCCGCCTGGGTTTTTTCCGTCCAGCTTTCTTCTCTTTCAGCCCGATGACCGCTCCTGCTCCTTTATCCCCAGCTGTGCAGGGCTCTCCCCGCTGGGCGAGATGAACCAACTCAGCCCAAAACTCGGCGTTGATGAGGGAAAAATCCATGCCTTAAATTTTCTGCCATCGTGGAGTTCAAACTAATTCCCATGGGGGTGGGAGAGCTTTTGGTTTGAGCTTCAGCCAGGAGGTTTCCCTACCGTTGCTGCATCAGTGGAGTTAAGCCAAAGCCCAGACACTAAATTTCTTCATGTGCGTAGTATCTTTGTGGGAGCTGTTGCCTGCAGGGCTCTTGGATTTGTCTCAGCAATGAATTTGCCACCTCTCTAGTTCTCCTGCATGTAGTGGGTCCAGCTTGGTGTTGTATATTCTTTTTTTTTTTTTTTTGAGATAGAGGCTTCTAGAGGACCACCAGTCCCCAGGTGGATTGAAATCCTTGGACCGTAGCTTGTAGTGCTCTGGTGAAGCGGGTTGAAGTGGGAACGGGCTCTTTTACCCCCAGGAAAATGAGAATTTAGGAGTTTGTCAGATGACAGAGCTTCCATCCATAGGAGGGGCCCAGTTGAGGGATGCCAGTACAAAGCTCTCTGAGGTGTCTTGGTTGTCCTGCCCTAGCTAACCATGGTCTCTCCAGCTTCTCAGCCCTGGGCCCTGTGCACTAGGAGATGCTTGAGGATCTCTTGAGGAAGGAGCAAGATTTCTCTCCTGATAGCAACTCCAGAAATCACACTGAGTGCTGATATCGCTCGACGTCAATCCCAACCTGCCCCCAGACACCCTTCTCAAAGGTGCTTCTTCTTTCCCGCAGCGTCAGAACGAGTACCTGAGGTACAGGCGCCTCTTCATGACTGTCGAGCGAGAGCAGGTGAAGGAACAGCAGAGGCAGAAGGAGAGGCAGAAGAGAATCGCCCAGTGAGTACGCTTGGATGAGAGCCAGCCTCTGGGTATCGCCCCCATCGCAGGCAGGGCTGCCCTCGTGGCTGGAAAGGTTTTGGCGTGCTTGTCTGGTGTGAACCAGGTGATGGGATTTTGGAAAGCACTCCTGCAGCCCAAATGCAGAGGCTTTGAGAAGACTCTCTAGTTTGCTATGGGAAAAAAAAACAAAAAAAACCAAAAAAACAAAACACCAAAAAACCAAACCAAAACAAAAAACAACAACAAAAAAAAACACACAAAAAAACCCAAAACAAACAAACAAAACAAAAAAAAACAAACCCACATGATGGGTAGCATTCTCCCTTCTTGGTCTCCAACTGCCCTGATGGATTCAAAAGGCCACTTTATCAACTTTTTAAAAATCAGGGACTATGTTGAAAGAAGCTCTGCGATATGAATTCCAGTTGTAAAGCCTGATGGATCTCCTGGGTTTTAGTGCCCAGGCGTGGGATTCATTTGCCCAACCTTTGGGCCGTGTCAAGTCCTTCAGAGGTGCTTAGTGCTTCTCTGTCTACTTTTTGAGGCCCCGTGCAGCTTGGATAGGAGCTGGGAGCCAAAACATCAGCCTGGGATTTGCAGCTCACCCCAAACCATGACTCTTGGGAACTCATCCCAAGACCCTGTGCTGCAGTCCGTGCTTGGAAGCTTTGGGGTGAGGTCACGTCATTGTTAAACTGATCTTATCTCCAGGTTTTTAATATCAGACCCTTCACCCTCGCAGCTATAAACGTATATAGTGTAATAAAAAGATTTCTCAGCATTTGTTCCAGAGTTGAAAACTTGGTGTCTGTGTAAAAGTATCGGTACTTGTTTTGGTGGTTTAGTCATCTTCTCCCTTTTAAGGTGTTCGTTAAGGAGGAGCTCTGCAACTTCACACCAAAATAGGAAAGATACTCTAATTTTTTTTCTGGCTCTGTCTTGCTCTGAAATAAAACTACGTAGCTCTGACCATCTCGGTCTCCAATGCCAGCTCTGCAGTGGGCAGGCTTTGTGGGAGCAGGGCAGGGTTTTCCCAGTCACTTTTCAGAGAGAGGTTGCTAGTCTAAAGAAACGTTCCCCCAGCCACATTCCTGACTTTTAAATTGGCACTTGGGAGCTTTGGAGACCTTTTCTTGCCCTGCAAGTGCTGGCGGGACACCAGAGACTTCCTAGTTAGTGAGATATCTTTCTTTTCCTTCCCCCCCCCCCCCCAGTTGCAGGGGCGCTGCTGGAGCTGCAAGCTGCTCGCAGTGTATGTGGAAAAGGGCTGGTTTTGTAATTTACTTAGTGTAAAGCCTTAAGTTGGCCTTGGCCTTAGTTTCTATAGCAGAAGATTTATGGTGGGGTAGTTAAGGCTCTATTACCACTTCATTTAAAAAACATTTTGGAGTTTATAACCTGACTAGAGAAGTTTTACTTCAGCACTTTCCTTATGCATGTAAAGATTTGACCCCCCAAATGGAGTAACATCTGAAATGTCTCCTTCGATTATGCTTTCTCCCCCTGGCTTCTACCCAGCCTGGAATTTTTTTTTTTTTTTTTTTTTTAATGCATTTTGGCAGTGATCAGCCTGTAACATGTTATTGCATTTGGTACTCATCAGCAGGAATAAAATGGCAGATGCTTCAGTTTAAAGTCTTTGTGCTTTGTAATTGCCACTTGTCAAGGGAACGTGCTCTGCTTTTGGTGTGACTTATACAATCCAGATTCCACTGAAAGGGCTGGACTGCCGTGTGGATGCAAGGGAGGTTGAGGAACTAGAGGAAGATTTGGTTAAAAATGCCTCTTAAAGACTATTTTGGAGTGAGTAGGTGTGGGATCTTTGGAGCTTCTCTGCTGTACCCAGCAATTTTCTACAGCCCTGTGACAGTCCCCGTCCTGGAAGCTGCAAGGACAGCTTAGGGTGGGATCCAAACTGCCCCATAATCAGAAGAAATCAGAAGTGGGGAAGCTGAGCCCTTGATCTTCTCTGGTGGGTATCAGAGCCCAGGCACTGCTTTTGGTTTTGGAAGGAGGGAAGAGCAGCTCTTTTGGGGAACTGCAGGTGGCACTTCGTAACAGGAGCATATGTGAATGTGATGCAGGAGGGAGCTGGAAGGAGGCGGCCACGATGGTGAGAAAACTAGGAGGCAGGAGGAGGTCAAGGGCAGGAGAGTGTTCACAGGCTGGTATTTCCATATGGGGGAGAGAAAGGCTCGGAAAGCTTTATTTGACCATTTTATATTTAAAGCTGCTAGAAAGGCAATGCTGCAATTAGTGCAGGGTTACTTTCACCTGCCTTGCATAGTCTGGGTGAAGGCAGCAGCACCTATATCCACCTGCCCCGATCTTACAACCAAGGGCTGGCAGGGAACGGAGGTTGTGATGGGGGGAAGCTCCTTCTCTGAGCATGTGTGTGCCCGCAGGATCAAGAGCAAGAAGGAGAACCAGCGCCGGGCAGAGGAGAAGATGATGCAGGAGACAGCTGAGCAGCAAGGACCCTCCCCGGGAGAGGGAGCCTGTGAACCCCTGGCCCAGCTTAAACTGGGGGAGAGGAGAGCGAAGAAGGTTAAGGAGAAACAGCGGCTTAAGGAGCACGTGAGGTACAGCCTGATCCCCCCTCCTTGCGCCGAGCCAGGTGTAACTGGCCAAGGTGAATATTGAATCCCTTGCAGGTACGTCGAAGCTCTAAGAGCCCAGATGAGGGAAAAGATAAAACTGTATAACATTGACTTGCCCCCGTTGTGCTCCTGCGGGTCCGATTTCTGGGAATCCCACCCAGATACCTGCGCCAACAACTGTGTCTTCTACAAAAACCACAAAGGTAGGAGCTCCTGCTTTTGGAGGGGGGGCGTCTGGACATGGATCCCTGGTTATACGGGGAGGAAGCCAACACGGCTGGGTGTTTCTGTGGTCCTGGGCTGCTGTTTAGGGGTGCTTCCACAGTTGTACTTTGGAGAGGGCTAGTCAGGTGCTCTGCTGCTTGTTTCTAACCCAGGCCCTTCCTCTGTCCCTTCAGGGAGCTTAGGGGCATCCTCAGCAAAGCACCAGCCTCTATAATGTGTTAAATAACGCTGCTGTAATACATATGTGTGTTGGTAGGGGGAGAACCATCAGGAAAACACTGCAAAACAGGCTTGTTACGGGCACAGAAAACCTCTCTGCCTTAATGCTGAATCTTCTGCTGGGAGGGTGCAAGAAGGTGGTGGAAATGGTCTTTGCTAGGCGATGGAGACTGCTCTGATTTTGAGTACAGCTCGGAACAGTACCTGGCCGAGCAACGGGGGGTTGTCTTCCCGGGGTGGGGAGGGAAAAGAGAAATTGGGACTTTATAAAAAAACTTTGGCTTTCCTCATTTGGCTCACATACTGCTTGGTAAGCAGGAGTATGCAGAGCATGCAAGCAAGCATGTGGAAAACTACAGGCACGTTGACTTATCTTAAAAAACAGCAGTGTTCTCTCTCCTTTACGGTAAAAGGCTGAAGCCAAGCCCAGTTTCGGGCCGTAAGTGAAACTCTCAACGCTGTTTTCTGTCTCCCCTTCTGGCTCAGCCTACGGCCACGCGCTGCGGTCCGTCGTCGCGTCCTGCGCCCCCGCGCCCGCCAGCCCCTCGGCGAGGCTGCCGCTCCGGGGCTTGGCTGCTCTCTGCGCTCGCTCGGGGAAGCCTCTGTGACCGGAGCCGCCACGAGTCCTTCCCCTTGCCCCGATTTCAGTGACTGCTGTAAGCAGAGAGCAGGGCTGGGCTGTGTCCTGCCCGTCTCTCCACCCCACCTTTGCTCTTTTCAGTCCTTGGGCTCAGGTTTAAGCTGCACCTCTCCCGTTTTCCTCCCTGTGTGCGCTTGGCTGGGCCGGGGCCACGGGGCGATGGTTGGTGCAAACGAGCCGGTTGCTCTGGGGGGCTGGTTTAGAGGCAGGCACTTGAATTTTGGTGTTCAGCTGCGAATAAACTGTTTTCAAGGACTGTTTGTCTCAGTTGGAGTGTGAAATGGGAAAGGAGGCATCTCGGGGCACGATCTCTGGTATCTCTTCCTTCCCACTCCCTTCTCTCCATTTCCCTATGGCTCCCACCAGCCCCTGCCTCTCTGGTCACAGTCCAGAGCCAGGTATTTATTGCTCCTTCCCTTTCTTCTGGGTGAGGACCTCTCTTCCACTAACATCCACCCAGCTCAGTACCTGACCCATGCTCCCACAGTTTCGGTTTAGCTTCAGAAAGGAGCTTTTTTTTTTCTAGGAACAATCTGTATTTAATCTCCTGAGCAGAAGTTGCTGGACTGGGATATTTTTTTTTTTTTTTTTTGAACCAAAAATTACACCAATCGCATAATGTGTTCCTGGACAGAGGTTGCAACATAACCAGTCTTTAATATTTACTGCTTGCCGGCCGCCCTCCAGCCACCTCTCCAATATTAACCACGGCAGGAAGGATGGGTGGCCGAGCGTGGCGGGTGATTTCTTTTTCCCTGGCACCGTCCCGCCGGGCGTGAAGCAAACTCAGGACCCTGGTCCAGAGGTAGCAGAGCGGTGCTGAGCCAGAGGCTGCTCCTCCGTTCCCACTGGAGAATCATTCACCGCCTTATTCGTGGGGGCTGGTGCTATTTATTAACCGCTGTTTGCGTCAGGGGAAGACACCGCAGTTCTGACACGGGGTGTTTGAAGTAGATTTTTTTTTTAAAGGGCAGGATCCAGCCCGGGAGGTTTTTGCATGCACCGAGGCGGGGGAAGCAAAGGACTGGAGCTGTAAATGTGTTGTTTTCAGCTGATTCCAGGGCAGGGCTTAGTGCTGGGGCAGCTGAGGACAAACGTTTCCTTGGCAGGACCCCAAGCCCTTGCTCGCAGCCCAGGGACCCCCGTTCCCACCTCTCTGGAGGAGCCCCCAAAGGGCTGTGGGCTGGTTTGCGGCTTACTTCAAAGGAATTGCGGTTAAATAAAGCTGTTGCTGGTCTTGTCGTGGTCTTGACCTTGCTTGGCTCTGCTTCAGCTGTGTCTAGTGGATCCTTTGAGAGTGGGGGGGGGGGGGGGGGAGGGACACACGTCTCCTGGTGTGAAATCTGCGGCAGAGGAGCGTGGGACTCCCAGAATCCCTGCAAATAAACCCGAAACCAAGGCTGGAGGGGCTCAGCTGAAATCAGGGCACCAAAGCCCTTTCAGGGAGTGATGCGGGAAAAGTTCAAACTAACCTTTTCTGCTGGAAAAAAACAGCATCCGGGGAAGATCCTGGGCCGGGGCTGGGGTGCAGGCGACTCCCCCCTTGGGCCTTCTCTCCCCCCCCCCCCCCCCCGCTGCCCAACTTTGCTTTTTGAGCCGGATTTTAAGTAGATTTTTTTGTGTATTAACCGGAGCAGGGGCCCGAGAGGAAGCTCCGGTTCCGCGCCCCGGGGCTGGGGGGGCTGTGCCCGGGGAAGGAGCCGGGGCGGGCCCGGGGGGCGGGGGCGGCGGGGCGGTGAAAAGGAGCGGCGGGGGGGGGGGGGGGGGGGGACCCGCAGCTCGGCCGCCGCCCGCCATGAGGGCAGCGCTCGCCCCCGGGGTCCGCCTGCTCCGCGACCTCCCCCGGGACAGCCGGTGAGCGGGGCGCTGCGCCGGGCTGGGGGGCACGGGGACCGAGGCAGCCGGGCTTGGGATGGGGACCGGCACCGGGATGGGGACCGGCACCGCGATGGGGACCGGCACCGCGATGGGGACCGGCACCGCGATGGGGGCCGGCACCGCGATGGGGACCGGCACCGCGATGGGGACCGGCACCGGGATGGGGACCGGCACCGGGCCGTGTGTCACTTGCCCGGGGACCAGCGCTGGGATGGGGGTCACTTGCCCAAGGACCGGCACCGGGATAGGGGACACTTGCCTGAGGACCAGCACCGGGATGGGGACCGGCACCGGGCCGTGTGTCACTTGCCCGGGGACCAGCACCGGGATGGGGGTCACTTGCCCAAGGACCGGCACTGGGATGGGGACCGGCACCGGGATGGGGGACACTTGCCCGGGGACCGGCACCGGGATGGGGACTGGTCCTGGACCGTGTGTCACTTGCCCGGGGACCAGCACTGGGATGGGGACCGGCCCTGGTCTGGGGATCACTTGCCCGGGGACTGGCCCTGGACCGTGTGTCACTTGCCCAGGGACCAGTACCGGGATGGGGACCGGCCCTGGGCTGGGAGTCACTTGCCCAAGGACCAGCCCTGGACCTGGGGTCACTTGCCCAGGGACCAGCCCTGGGTCCACTGTGAGACCGGCTCCAGAGCAGCACCGGCACCGAGCCCGGGGTTTTGGGCATGACCTAGGAACCGGCCCCGAGCCCCGCTCAGACACTGTGGGGCTGGACAGGAGGGGGGGGACACCCCGAGATGGGTGGCAGCACCCGCCGAGCCTCGAGCCGTCCCTCCGCGTGTGCCAGGCCCTCACGCCCCAAACTGGGGGGGAATGTGGCCAGCACCAAGATCCCGCCGCTTGCCCCCACTTTTTGGTGAGGTGACGAGCCTGCTGTGGGTTTAATTTTACTGAATATATTTATTTTTTGGAAGCCTGTTGCCAAACACCCCCCGTGCTTTTCCTTCAGCTGCAATTTTCCCTGCCAGCACACGTGGGGTAAAAAAAAAAAAAAAAACCAAAAAACAACAAAATGAAGCAACAAACCAACCATCCAGCTAAGTCGGGTACCGCACGTGAAGATTCTCTTCTTCTTCCTCACAGTGGCCTCTCTGCTCCCCTTGGAGCAGCCCTGCAGTGATCAGTGGTGATTTTTTGGGGGAGGAGTGGGGTTTGAGGTATTTTTTTGAGGTGGGAACCAGGAATTTTTCAGCTGCAGTGCAGTCTCTGAGCCGGCACCCCAGAGCAGAGAGCTGCCCTGGATTTCCAGCGTGTCTGGAATCGCTGCAGTTTTGTGAAGTGAAACTGCAAAGAGGAGCAGGATGGGCTAAAACTGCAAACAAAAGGCAGGGTTTTGCTGGGTTGGTTTTTTTTTTTTTTTTTTTTTCCTCTTTCTGAAGGAGCAACCCCGTGACACTTCTCCATGCCACAGCCACCCCTGAGTGCTCACATCCTCTGTGCTGCCATAAAACCCTCTGCAATACCTTCCCTAAATTCAGGATGGGGCCCCTTGGTGATGCTCATTCCGCTCTGGAGGGTGCTGGATCCTATTTGGGATTCTCCAGGCTTTATCCATCAGCTTTACTGGGAGCAGCATCCCCATTCCCAAGCCCCATGTTTTCCCTATTTCCCCCCATTTTCCTGCATTTAATTAAAGCAAAAGGGATAAAGTCTCTATGCAGTGGAGGAACTGGAGCGGGTAGTGCTTGGGGCATTCACTCCCCCTCCTTTTTTTTTTCCAGTTCATCTTTAACTCTGGGAACGATGATGAATCAGCCACGTTGTGCCCCGTTTCCTCCCGTGACGGGGGGAAGGTGCTTGCTCACCCCACAGTTTGCTGGGATGGCTGCTCGAGGAAGGGGAAACAATGATTAGTCCCGTGTGTCCCCCCCCCCCCCGAAAAAAAAACTCAACTGGTCTTTTTACGTCGCATCCTTGGCCACATTTTGGGCGGGCTGGTTGCCTCCCCGCTGGCTGGACCGAGTGGGCTCACCTCACCGATCTGGCCAAAGAGTCCCCGTTTGGTGATGAAGGGATATTCTGGGGGGGGGGAACCAAGCAGAAACGACCCCCTTTCTCCCCTTTCCCCTGCGTTTCTAAGACCCCATGGATTAAATTGTGGCGGAGTTGTGTGTGCACATCTCAAATCTGCATCTTAAGCGGATTCAACCTGGCCCGGTGGTGGCTCTCGCTCCCCTTACCTGATATTTTTCTCCAAAAAAAGCATGAATTCTGGGGAGAGGCAAAACGGCTAACGCCAAGGCTGGAGATGTCAGGGACATCCCCGCTGGGCTGGGCATTTCCAGCTGGGATGGTGACCCATCCCTGTCCCCATCCCTGTCCCCACCAACCCTGACCTCTCTGCTCGCTTTACCCCACAGGTATCGGGGACTGACGCTGGTGCTGACCTTCCTCTGCTACACCAGCTACCACCTCTCCCGAAAACCCATCAGCATCGTCAAGGTTAGCGCCAGCCTCGCTCCAACCGTGGGGAGGGGGGGACATGTGGAGGGGGGGAGGGTGTCCTCGAGCATCCTGATTTCACCCCTTCTCTCTCCCCACAGAGCCAGCTGCACCCCAATTGCTCAGCCTTGGGGCCGAACCCCCGCAACGACTCCAACAGCAGCACGTGGTGCAGTTGGGCACCCTTTGGTAAGGCTGAGCCCCCCCCCGCCAAGACACCCCAAAAAATACCCTCATGACAGCTGGGACAGGCTCCCCCCCCCCCCCCCACGTCCTAAGCCGAGTTGTGGCCGGAGGTTTTGGCAGGGGGCTGGCTACTCATTAGGCACCCGGAGGTAATTAAGCAGCACGCATCTGCCCCGTGCGCCCGGGCCAAAGGGCAGCAGTGGGTGGTGAAACTGGGGCCGGGATGGGGCCGAGTCCCGACGCCGACGGCAGCCGTCACGCTCCAAGAACCACCCACCGGAGAGGAGGGTTTTGGGGATGGAGGACGAGGACAAGCCCGTGACCACGAGGAGGGAAAACAAAACTGGGGGGGGGGGGGGGGCCAGGCTGACACGGCCCTAATATTTCTTTTCCAGATGAGGACAACTACAAGGAACTTTTCGGGGCGCTGGATAACGCCTTCCTGGTGGCTTACGCCATCGGGATGTTCATCAGGTACCCAGGTCCTTTACACCCCTTTCCTCCCGCACACCCGTTTACACCAGTCCGCCAGGAAACTGGTTTCCATCGGGGCTGGGGGTCGTGCTAACGGGAAAGCAGCTGGGCGCCGGGAGCTGCCTGGGGTTCGGGCACTGGCTCGGTGTGCGAACGCCCGTCGGCAACATCACTTGTGACAGCTCCCGTCCTCGCTCTTCCCTCTCTCCGCAGCGGTATTTTTGGGGAGCGCCTCCCCCTGCGCTACTACCTGTCGGGGGGGATGGTGCTGAGCGGGCTCTTCACCGCGCTCTTCGGCCTCGGCTACTTCTGGGACATTCACGTCCTCTGGTACTTCATCGTTGTGCAGGTGTGTCCGCGCTGGAGGACGCCCAGGCTCTGGATTTTAACCGCCACGGCCTCACGGGAGTTTTTTTTGGTGCCGTTTGGGGGTCAGGACGGCCCAGCTTCAAAGCGGGAGAATGCTGGGCATTTCCACTCCCCGCAAAACCTGGTTGCGCGTGGTGGCGTGGGCGCCGAAACCACTGGGGCGCGCCCAACTCGCTGAGCAGGGTGGGTGGCTGGTTTGGCAACACCAGTCGCTCCCAATTTAGCCAGGGGGACAGTGCAAACGGCTCGGAGATTGCTCCAGTGGGGGGAAAAAAAAAAAAAAACAAAAAACCAAAGTGTTTTCTTCACAGCTTTGGGATGAGGGTGGCTCTTTTTGAACCTGGCTGCCCGGAACGGCACAGGTTGCTCCGTGGCTCGGGTGGGTGCTTGCCAGGTGCCCGAGGGCACTGTGTGATGCTGCCCATCTCTTGCCAGGTCTGCAATGGGCTGGTGCAGACAACCGGCTGGCCCTCCGTTGTGGCGTGCGTCGGGAACTGGTTCGGGAAGGGAAAGTGAGTGTTTTGCTGGTGTGTCTCACCCTGGTCCTGGTCCTTGTTGGCTGTGGCAGCCCGCTGACCCCGGATCTGTCCCTGCTAGGAGAGGTTTGATCATGGGCATCTGGAACTCGCACACCTCCGTTGGCAACATCTTAGGGTCACTCATCGCCGGCGTCTGGGTTTCCTCTGCCTGGGGCTTGTCCTTCATCGTGCCCGGCATCATCATCGCTGTCATGGGCATCATCTGCTTCTTCTTCCTCGTGGAGTGTGAGTGGTGTGATCCAGAGCACAGCAGATCAGTGGTGCCACAAGCCACAGTTTTTCTCCTTACCCGTTTCCAAGAGGTTTTGGCAGCCCCAAATACATATTACCAGCTTGTGGCAAGCAGGGATGTGGACCTGACCACCACGGGGTTGCTCAGCATCCTGTGGGGTCATCCAGGCAGGCTCAGCCCCTGTGCCAGTCTTTCTAGGAAACATTTGGGAAGCCCTTTGGGATTTTACTGTTTGGTTTTTTTTTTTGGCTGCCGGGAAGCGGGTACACAGAGATGCAGCCCAGCCCTGGGGGGTGTCCCAGCCCCATGTTTTTCCCCTGCAGCACGAGATGCTGGAGGGCGAGCAGGCGGCGTGGGGCCAGTCCAGGCTCTCACGGGATCTTTCTCCCTGCAGATCCCGAGGACGTCGGCTGCAGTCCGCCCCTGCATCACGTGAGTTGAACTGATTCCCAGGGCTTGGCCTGAGATGCGCGGTTGCTCAGTTCACACAAAAACAACTGGGGTGTCAGGTCGTAACATCAGAAGCGAGAGCAATGTTCGGTTTATGGTGGAGGATGCTCATTGCTATTCTGCTGTGAGCACCCTCTGGGTCACGTCCTGGCGGCGCATCTGACATTTCAGCCCCTTCCAGCAATGAGAGCCACACCTCCTGCTTTTTGGCTTGCTTTTAGATGGCCTCCGACGAGGAGGATGCTAGAGGAGCGACCACCAGTGAGAAGGATCCCGAAGCGGTCACCTCCAACGAGGGGCCACTGAGCATCTCAGGCCAGAGCAGCACGGATCGCTCCGACAGCCCCAAGGAGCCAGCTGAGGAGCCCGAAGCCATCAGCTTCCTCGGGGCGCTCCGGATACCCGTGAGTCACGGGAGGCCCCTTGCATCCTGATGGGGATGGAGGAAAGAGCAAAGCCAGGGCAGCTCACCCCATCGATGGGGTGTCCACACATCAGGAAATTGGGGAAAAAAAAAAAACAAAAAACCAAAACCACCATCTGGAGGAGGTTGGGACAAGGCTCCTCTGACATCTTCTCTGCTCCTCCCAGGGTGTGGTGGAGTTCTCCCTTTGCCTGCTCTTTGCCAAGCTGGTGAGCTACACCTTCCTGTACTGGCTGCCCCTCTACATTGTGAACGTCGGTGAGTTTTTGAGGGCGGTGAGACGGGAGCAAGCCTGGCAAGGGGAGCGTCTCCTCACCCCTCTCCTCCCCCCCACAGCTCATTTCGGTGCCAAGGAAGCCGGGGACCTGTCAACCCTCTTTGACGTCGGGGGCATTCTAGGTTTGTCACGTACCCAAGCAGAGGGGGTGGATCAGGGATGATTTGGGGACGATCCTGGCCTTGATGGGAAGTCTCGTCCATGGGAGTGCTTTATTGGTAACACCATCTCTTTTTCTGGAGCACGGTAGCGAGGATCATTCGGCCTCTGGAGCACTCAGAAGGTAGCAAATGCCCCTTGCTTTTATTTTGCCATCCAGGTGACCATTGCAACACCTTTCCTTGGGTTTTGCTTGCTCAGGCTCTTCTTTTGCTTGGAGAAATAATATATTTTGGAAGTATGGAGGGCACCAGAGCTGCATGCAGGTGTAGGGAAACCATCTGCAAGGAGAAAGCAGCAGGGATAAATCAAAACTCTGCACTCTGATATTATGTTTAACCTTGGGGGTCATCTTGCTGAAAAGATGGTGGATGAAGGAGCATCATGGTGCAGCATCCCACTGGATTTTGGGTTAAGCCAGGGCGGAGCTTTGCCGCTGGGGCGGTGTGACTGACACCTGCAACTCCTTCTTGCAGGGGGGATCTTTGCTGGCCTCATCTCCGATTACACCGGCGGCAGGGCCACCACGTGCTGCGTGATGCTGGTCATCGCTGCTCCCATGGTGCGTTGCCACGTGGGGAAAAAAAAAAAAAAACGGTCACGGGGGTTTCCTCTCCTCCAGCTTCTTTGAGTCACGGCTGCCTTCCTCTTCCCAAGTGCCTGGGATAAGCCGGTCATGCGCTTAGCTGAGATGAGAGCTGGGATCGACCCACATGCCCAGATGCTGCCGGGGTGGACGTCCAGATCTGGAGGCTGGGAGGGGGCTGTAGAGTCCTTGACAGCTAAAAAAAAATCCTCTTTAGGCTTGTTTTTTTTTTCCTCCATCCTGCCCTAACCCTGCTCTGTCTTAAAGCCTCGGGGGTCCCACCGAGCCGCTCCAACTTTCATCTCTTTGCTTTGCATCCCCTGCGCCAATGGCCTCATGCTCCACCGGCGCCTAGCCAGGACGTCCTTCCCAAGCACCTGCACGGAGCTTGTTTGGCTTTGCTGCTGCTGCAAAAAAAACACAGCTAATTAGCTGTAATCCAAGCCTGGCTGGCTCGGGCTTGCGAGCTTCTCCCCTCCGAAGGAGCTGGCGTGCGCTGAAAAGCGGAGAGGCCGCGTCACGTCCGCGTCCCCCGGATAGTGCCGGCGGGGCAAATTACCGTCTGGCTGCAGCCGGCAGGGAGGCGCGTGAGCCTCGCCGGGCCGTAAATCGCAGCAGCACCTCTGTTTGCCAACTGCCAGGTATTTCATCTGGCAGGCAGACGACGGGACGCGGAGCCAAGGGCGCACTCGGCTCCCCACCCCCGGCTGGGGCGCTCCTCCTCAGACGCCACGTAGAGTGACGGGGGGGGGGGGGGGGGGTCCTGCAAATCTCGGCGCTGGCGATAATTCAGGTCCTCACCTTCTCCCTCCTCTCCCCAGGGTGCTGCTGCAGGGAAAATGCTTAGGAAAACAGCTGGAATAGCCATAACTGGTTCATCTCATGTCTTTTTTTCCAGCTGTTCCTGTATAACCATGTTGGCCAGAACGGCATCGGCACATCAATAGGTAAGGGGCTACTGTTGTGGACTCACCTGCCTTTATTTCTCCTCTTGAGCCAGGCTCCCAGTCTGGGATTCGGGGGAGAGGGTGGTGCTGGATGAGCGTTCGCTGCCTGCGGGGTGGGATCTCCTTGGGGGCGGGGGGGAAACCAGAGATGAGCAAGCGGTGGATGCGCAGGACAGCGATGTCCGCACATGGGCCGGGGGCTATGGACCCGACGTCCTGCTGCTCCCTGCACTTAAAGATTTCATCTCTTCCTGGGTACCTCCGTGGCCATCTCGTCCCTCACAGCGATGCTGATTGTCTGTGGCGCTCTGGTTAACGGGCCCTACGCTCTCATCACAACAGCAGTTTCGGCAGATTTGGTAAGAAGCGCACCTCAGGCCCCGCCACGCTGCCCTTGCGCACCCAAAGGCTGCTCCCTCTTTTCTGGAGGGATGTTTGCTGGGATTTTTGGCATTTTAGCTTTGTTTTTCAATGCCTCTGAAGCCCAGGGTTGTCACACCTCATGCTGTTGTTCACACCCTCCCTTAAACACACGGCTTTTTTTTCCTATTGCTCTTTTACCTTGGCCACGTGACTCTGCTTCAGCCTTGCTGCATCACTCTCTTAGTACAATCAGAGTGGAAAAATTTACTGGGAAATCACCTGGGATTGATGATTCTGTTGGCAGTTCTGGTTTTGCCGTGGTTTGGCTGCAGGCAGCATCCGAGTTCAGTCTTCCCCTCCATGGCTGGGTCGGATACATGGAAACTGCTGCCTCACACTAGGACTTGCTGGCTGCTTTTCCTCCTTATGTTTTACTCCTCTGTCCCTACAGGGAACCCACGAGTCTCTCAAAGGAAATGCCAAAGCCCTTTCTACTGTCACGGCTATTATTGATGGCACAGGATCCGTAGGTATGTACGGCTGGGGGGATGCTGAGCGGGGTCCTGGTCCCCTCGCCCCTGTGAGCAGGGCATCTCCTAACGTGGTTCATGTGCCCTTGCAGGTGCTGCGCTAGGGCCGCTGCTCGCAGGGCTCATCTCCCCCACGGGCTGGAATAACGTCTTCTACATGTTGATAGCAGCTGATGTCTTGGCTTGCCTGGTAGGTCCCTCCTCGGCTGGACTCGTTTTGCCACCCTGGCTATTCAAGGGCCCCCTTTTAGCTGCCTGCTCGCCAGCGGAGGGCAGGGACAGTCCTCAGGAGACAGCTAGGCACAGGGCGACTTGCAAAGCCCTGTGTCAACTCCAAACCTCTGCGTCCATTCCTTGGCTTTTCCCAATGACCTCCTCCACCCGTGGTTTTAGTTCGTGTGATTTTCCCTAGGAAGAGCCTTAAAATTTATTTCCCGGTGATGGAAACGCTCACGCCGAGGGTGGTGGCTGCAGAGCCATCTGTCCCCGTGGCTAATCCACACCCCCCCCCCCTTTCCTCTTGCAGCTCCTCGCTCGCGTGGTGGTCAAAGAGGTCCGTGGGTGGTGCGGCTACATGGCGAGGAAGAGAGGGTACGTACGTACCACCCCGGGGTGGCCTCCGGTCCCCTGGTGCCAAAACAAGGTGTCGGTGCCCCTCCAGAAAGACGTTTGTTATCCCTTGCTGTCACTGCTGCATCTCCGCGTGGGCATCGCGTCGGGAATCGCGAGGCTGCCTGCCTGACGCCCGTCTCACTCCTGTGAGACGTTTCCATCTTGAGCCAGGGCAGCACCCAGGGGAGTTTAGCCGTGAAACTCTCTCGGTGCTAAACATGCCATCCTTGTGTCTTTGTAGCTCTAGCGTGCAGCTAACAGAGTCAGTGCTGGATGGGAAGTAGCTTGGTGTGAGTATCTCCGCTTGAGCCCCGAGGATTAAATGCAAACGCAAGCCTGATTCCCCCCCGATTTCGAGTTTTGCTGGGCAGGCTCAGCCTAGAAACAGCCACTCTGCTGATAATTTAAGGGCTGAGATCAACATTGGGGAATAAAAGGATCACGTTGCAATGGCCAGGGAAGAGAGTGTGGATGAGGGGGTGGGCAGCACGTCCTTGTTTCCAGCTCACTTACGAGATGTTAGCCAAGATGCCTGATTGATTGGTATTGATTAATGCACTTGAAATGGCAGGATTTATAGGCTGACTTTCCCACCTGTGCTAATGAGCTTGATTACACAGAATACGGGCTCGCTAATCAAACCTGTGGCCAAATCACTGCAGAGAGGGTATAAATAATCTCCAAATCAGCACTAGCCTGTCTCCGGTTGCCGCCGAAGCCCTGCTGTGAGCACTGAGGGGAAGGGGCCGTAGCCAGTCCCAGTGATGAGGGTGCCAGACCCTGAACCCCCTGCGAACATTTGGTCCTTTATGTCTTGTGTTTGCAGGTGAAAGACCAATAGTCTGGGCCTCGCGCTGCGGTAAGTGCGGCCCAAATCTCCTTCTCTGGCCACCAGTGGAGGGCTGCCAGGCTCCTCTCGCCTGCATCGGGGCTGTCTGGGGCGAGGACTGTCCTGGCTGGGTTGGCACTGTCCCTGTTTGCACCAAAATCCGGCTGTTTTGCGATGGGGGAAGCAGCTGGGTCAGTTGGTGGAAATTCTGCAACGCCTGAGAGGGCTTTGGGGAGTGCATTGTCTCCAGAGCAGCTTGCAGAGAGGAGGCACAAATGCTGGGGGGGGGCGGTGGTTTTGGGGGGGGATGTTTCGGCTTTGGGCAGAGACAAGATGGTGGCTGGATCTCCTCCTTGCACCTGCTTCTCCTCCAGGCTGGCAGTGCAGGTGGGGCCGGAGTTTCCCGGCAGAGCCGTCTTCTCTTTCCATCTCTCCGGCAGCACCCAGCGTTTATCCCAACACCCGTGGGACGGCACCCACCATGCTCAGCCACTTCCCTTCTCTCCCCGCAGGTTTAAGGAGTTTTGACCTGGCCCCCCCCCCCCCCGCCACGGCCCCGCGAGCCGCCCCGAGCTGAGAGGCCTGGAGGGAGGAGAGAGGCAGGGGCACGCCAGGAGCGTGTTTATCTCACCAGGAGCGTGTTTATCTCGTGTTTATCTCGCCAGGAGCGTGTCTATCATCTCGGCAGAGCCGAGGCACGGCCCCGTGGGCTTGTACTGCCACTGTGGGTTTACTTCTGTGGGTTTGCTTCGGAGGGAGGCGGCGGCGAGGAGCGATCCGAGGCTGACGGGTTTTCTGGGCCAACTCTTCGCCGTTGGCCGTTTTATTAATAAAACCATGGAAAACCTATGTTGCCGTTCCATGCCCTTTCCTGGTGGGGCTCAGCCAGGTCTGTGTGAACTTGGGGAAGCGATGATTGTGCCCTTCTTGCTTTTTCCTTTTTTTGCCTCTGCTTTGCAAGCCTGCCCCATCCTGGTGGTCGGTATTTCAGGATATCGGACCAGGGGGACTGCAAAATCACTTAAGGCACTGCCACGCTGACAAAGTGCTGCTTGTTCTACGTAAAGGATATCCCCAGGCTTTTCACTGAGCTGGTTTTGCTCCTCATCTCATCCCACTGTAAAGAAAAAACAAACCAGCGTTTTTTTTCCTGAGTATTACAATTCCTAATTCGTACCGTTAAGGCCCCGTAGCCACACTAGCTATGCCACAACAAGCAGCTGCTCACACACCCGTGGCTGCCCTCAGTCCAGCCCGGGCAGCTGATGGCCTTCGTTAGACACCCCCTAATTAGAAGGAGCCATGCGACAGGCACCCGGGAGGTTAAGCCAGTGCCGCTGGCCTCGGGGGGTCCCCTCGGCGGAGGTGGGTCTGGGAGGCCCCCCCCCCCCCCCCCCAAGTTTGGAGCCAGGGTGCATGGGGCATTTGTGAGCCGTGGGGTGTGTTGCCGTGGATTGTGCCCTGGCAGGCTCTAGCTCTGCCCCGGAGAGAGCAGTGCTGGGTGCCAGGGGCTGTGATTGTGCCCGGTATAAATCTGAACTCTAATTGACTTCACCTCCTTGGATCTTAACCCGAGGAGAAAACATCTGGGCCTGATGTGATTTTATTAAGTGCTGATTTCATCAGCAAAGGGGAAAAAGAAGAAAGAAGAAAGAAAAAAAAAAAAAAAAAGACCTGCTGACCAGTTGGATCAGCTCCCTGTAAACCCCTGTGAGGCGATGGGGCGGCACAGGTGGAACCAGCAACTCGACAGGGCTTGAAAACTCCCTGGTTGCCTGCAGATCCCCCTGTGGAGAAAGCAGGAGAAAAGCCAAGTCCCCAGTTGTCCCTTTTTCCCAGGGAAGTCATCCCCACCCCAGGGCAGGCCCCGACAGAGCCATAGGGAAAGATGTCGTGACAGGGTCAGTTCTCAGCAGAAACAAAAGGGCTGACACCGTGGCACCCCCAGGCTGCAGGGCTCCTGGCAAACGGGGCCGCCGGCAGAGGTGCCACGCACGGGGCTGAGAATGGTGATTTCAGTGCGTATGTGACCGAGCTTTCACTTTGCTTAATTGCCATCCACCTTGTGGAGGAGTACGGGTGGGCTTGAAACACATTTTCAAGCAAAAAATCCCACAAGCCCTGACACACGCACAACGGGGTTATTGCAAAAGCAAGTTTGGTGGCTCTTTTTTTTTCCCCTTTCTTCCTTTTCCCCGCTCCCCCACCTCCTGCCTATTCTTTCAGCTGCTCACAGTTTTTCCGGGACAAATTTAGGCTGGTCTGCATCCCACTCGTGTTTGGAAAGTCTGAGCAGCCTTGGCTGCGTTGCCGGGAGCGAGGAGAAAGGGCAGATGGCCCATGGCGGTTTTAAACTTAAAAAAAAAAAAAAAAGAGCCAAACGCCAAAGAAAACTCCAGATCTCGCTGAGATTTCAGAGAGCGAGGGGTGGGCGGGAAGGCCGGGGGGGGGGGGGATCCCCTGGGTTTCACCCAGCCACTGGGCTGTTTGAATGGAGCCAAGCTCCTCTGGGAGAAGCCTGCAGGATTCGCCTCGTTCCTCCTCCAGCGGAGAAGGGGCCGCTGCTTCTCCCCTTCCGCAGCGCGGCGGTGAGGAGGCTGGGCGAGCCAGGAGAGCGCAAACCCGAGGCCGGGGAAAACCATCGTGCCTGCAGCAAGCTCACGAGGAGCCCGGCTGGTAAACGCAGAGCCCGGGGTGTTTTCCTACAGGTGACACCGCGGCAACATCCCCGTCTTGCGCGTGTTTTGGGGGGAATGCCGCCGGGCTGCCGTGAGGGTGAAGAGGTGGCTGGGCCACGGGCCGTAATTACCCATGCAAGGAGCAGCCGGCCAACGCTGAAGGGCTTTTTAATTAGCAGCCAAAGGCAAAGTGGGATTCAACAGCAGGGAAGCTGAAGTCAGCAAAGTCAAGGTGGAAATAAGAGGCCGGCTTTTACCAGTGAGGGTAATTAAGTGCCGGCAGAGCGCAGCACGAGGCGTGAGGAATTGTCATCATTCAAGGACCTTAAATCAAGGAGAGGAGCTTCTCCTGCGGACACTTGCTCTCCCTCCATCCCCACTCACCACCTGGCGCTGGGCAGGAGGGAGCAGCTGCCCTCGGGCTGCGTGACAAGCTGGGTACCAGCACCCCACTGTGGGAGCATCCCTGCTCCTTTCTAATGAGCCACACTGAATTTTAGGGGGAGGAAAAGGGCTTTTTTGACCACCTGATCTGAAAGCAGTTTGGCCACCCTCCTCCTGGCATGCACAGCGTCTTGTGCAAACACCCCTTTTGGCACAGCAGGTTTCTTTCGCTGGGCTTTAGTGTGATTTTTCACCTGCATGAGGCTGGCACCTCAGGACACGGAGCACCCAGTGCTCCCAGCTTGCAATAGGAAAGCTGGGATCATTTGCTCACAGTTCGGGGAGAAAAGCTGGGCTGGAGCACAGCTCCTGGGCTCTTCCGAGCTCTCAACACCTTTGCCAGCAACTGAGAGGTTGGGATTTAAGCCAAACCCACCCTCTTGCTACACATTAATTGCAAGAAAAAAAAAAAAAAAAAACAAAAAACAACAAATGATCAAGGTGCTAGATGGAGGTGGATGTGCTAGCAAGAGGTTATCCTCCAGGAGCTGAAGGTATGGGTGAGGGACAGCAGTAAAAAAAAAAAACAACATTAGGGGCTGGTTGGAAAGCAGCTCTGGCTCATACCAATTCCTTGACGTGGTCTTTCCTTTCCCCAAAATAAACAGGAACCGTCTGGAAAGCCCCTGCACAGGGAGAAGCAGAATTGCCCAGAATAAATAAATACACAGAGAGAGACAGGGTTAAGTTCATCCAGCCGGTCGTTCCCTGCTGCCAAGGGTGGCGAAGGATGAGGCTGGAGCTCAAAAAGTCTTGTGGGGAGAGAGAACACATGGGGCTCTTTCCCCAGTTAATGGGATTCTTGGGAAAGCACTGAAATGGCCTCCTCGGGCAGGAGCTGTGCTTCTCTCTCCTGTAGCGTGGCTTTCCACTCTCCCCCCCAAACATCCCCTTGCACGATGAGCCTTTTGACTGATTTTTGTTACAAACGGATTAAGGGGACAGAAAAAGCAAATACCTTGGGTTCATTTACAGCGCAAAACTGGAAGAAGCTTCACATTTCTGCTTTGAGGGTGGGGTTTTTTTCTTGCCCTGGCTGCTTTTGCCGCGGTTTCCCCGTTTGTTGGACCTGAAGCCTGGCAAAGTGCCGCTGTCCCCAGCGGCACGGCTTGCTGCCGCGGCCTCAGCGCGGCTCTCCCGAACCAGCCTTTGCACAAGCACAAGGAATACAGACACGGCAGGTGCGACGCTGGAGCGAGTTGCAAGACCAGCTTCGTGTTCATAAATGTTATTAAGACGATGAATTAAATATGAATTTTGTTTCAGGCGTGACTTCAAAATCACCAAGAGACCTGACGCGCTTGTGTTGCATAAATGCTCAGCGTGTTCCTTAACACAGTAGTTCAACTCCCTTGGACACAGGCTTCAGGATATGAAGGGATTGAGCGTTTACGCGCCTTGAAAAGGAGAAACACCTCTCCTCTGACTTTTTTTTAAATGTACTTACACGTTTTTAGCTGACCGAGTTAGGGCTCCTGGGTGCTGGGGCATTTTCTGCAGGGGAAGCATTGTCTCTGAGCCCGCTAGCACTGCCTTATTAATCTTTCATATCCTGATAGCGATATTTTGTGACTGACAGCTGGCAGAACAGTGCTGGAAGGAGCTCGCTGGTTCTTTTATTTACTGTTCACCACCTTCAGTTCAAAACGGAAAAAAAATTAAAGTCTCTAAAATGGGGGGGGGGGAAAAAAAAAAAAAAAAAAAAAAGTCTGTATGAGACCTGAGTTTCTTACCCTCGGGTTTTTGGCTATATTGCCCCTGAACACATCTCAAGGCTGCAGTACTGCCTCACACTCAGCTTCAACCTCACCGCAATACCCGCTGCCCGCTCAGCTGTGAAAGGCTGAGCGGCTCCATCCCTCCGGGGCTGGGAAACGCAAGCCGACACGTAACTCACCTCACTCAGCTACTACAGGGCCCCTGTGGGAAGCTTTGCCGGCACAGTATGGGTAGTAAAGGCTCCTTCCCTGCTCCGCAGCAGCCACCCAGCGCTCCAGCTCACCGAAACGCCTTCCTCCTGCCTGCAAGCAACTTTAAAGCCCTGTGAGATTTCATGCAAGAGCACAAACCGTCACTATTGAGTGATGGCTAAGACGGCACAAAGCAGTAATTATTGCTGGTTAAGTACAGACACCCAGCCTGTGCGAGCCACTGCTATCAACAGATTGATTTGCCGCACAGGCAGGAGGCCGAGGTATCTGCCAGCCTGGCCCAGCCACCCTGCTCTGCTTCAGCAGGGATGTTCCCCCTTGCTTCCACGAAACAATAGGGAGAAAAATGGGATTTGACCCCATTGCTGCTGCTGAAAAACATAAAAAGGGGGTTTTTCCTCCTCTCCCCCCCCAGGAGGAAAGGTATTCGAGTTGACTACTGGCTTCAGCCAGTGATCTGCACTAGTGTGAGCAATGGTTTCATATTTTAGGGTAGCAGAAACCATGAGCCTTCGGCTCCCCACCCAGAGTGGCAACTTGGGGTCCTGACACACGTGGGAGACACTCAGGTATCAGCAGAGTCCTTGAAGAGCAATAGGTTTTTTCCCATGGGCTAGCAGGATCATTAGCACAGGGAGGCAAGACCTGGCTTTCCTCTGCATCCTTGCAGAGCAGAGAGGTTAATTTGCCCCTTTTGGCATTATTTTGTACACTGTTCGCTCCCCACTCCAAAGGCTCAGGTTTCCAGTCAAAGAAAACAATCCCCAACAATCCCCAATCACATGCTGAATTTCCAGAAAACCCCGCATCTGTCACTGGAAAAGGTGGTTTTTAGAGACACCGTCAAAGGGTGGCAAAAGGTGACATTTCTGGAGAATAAATAAAGCCCAACTCAGGGGTTTCTCTTAGAGTTTTATTAAACTAAGGGGAAAAAGAAACAGTAACAAGCCATCTCTTGTGGATAACTATAACAAACCAGTTCAGTTCAATTCACTGAATCAAGTGTAGTACAAAGTGCTTGGATTTCAACTCTCCTGTAAAAGAGAAGAGAGAGGTTAAAACACCTCTGCAGTCTGCAGAGGCTTGAACACCCCTGGAGAGGAAGGCACTCACGCTCAGTCCAAACTTTGCTTTTAAAGATGAAAGACACTGCGCTGGGCGCAAGCGACACACTTCACTTGCTTTGCCAGCTCCTTCTGAGCTCGGAAAAATCGACACATTCACCTCCAGAACAGTCTCCTGGTCTCCCTTCCTGGTTTATTGCCATGAAATTGGGATTTCCTCTTCACGGGGATCGCTGCCTCCAGCTGCCACTACCTGCTGTGAAGTGGTTTGGCGTACACTGGGTCCATGAGGTGGTAAATCAGGAGCAGGAACAGGCACCCAACTAAGACCAGGCTCATCAGGGCCAGGAGGATGAAGCGGCCAATAAGCAAGGTGTCCACAATCTGCAGAGAATGGAAAAAAAAAACCCAAACATTACAGTCTCTGGCGGCTCCCAGAGCTCAGAGGGAACACTCCATGTCCTGGAAAAGAGTATTGTCAGAGATCACCCCAGGAGGAAAACCTTTGGGGTTTTCCCAGATTTATCCTCTCACTTTTCATTCCTGACATGAGTGCTTTCTGTGGGAATTGGGGAAGAATCTCTTTCCTCTGAAAAAAGCCACTCATGGGAAAGCTAATGTGAAGGAAAGAAGCAGCACAGTACTGAGCACAGGGAAGAAACATGAGTCAAAACCTGCAGCTGCTCTCTCTAGCCACAAGCCTCCCTGCCCTGCAAGGAACTGTTCAAAATTTCCCCCTTTTAGAAGGGAAATGGAGGGAAAAAGAAAAAAAAAAAGATTAAAAAAAAAGAAGACATAGTAGCAAGGCAAGACACAATGACAAACCAACTGCGAGAAGGTTGGTTATGAAATCATCCTCTCGGCTCCTGAGACTACACCAGAGCTTCGCTCACCCCCAGCTCAGTTTTATAAATCACATTAGCACATGCTCATCCTTGGTGTTGCTGCAGAAAGAGTCTCTTGTGAGTAAAACATTGGCTCCTTCTGCACGTTTCACTTTTTAATTAGCCAATTAGCAGAGTTTCGGTGCAGAAAGCCCAGGTCATGTATTATTGATAGTCAGGGCAGGTCCAGTCCAACTGAAGATCCAGGGAAAAAAAAAGGCAAAAAAAAAAAAAAGCTTTCTAATTCTATTGGCCTCCCAGGCACAAACATGCACTCGGCTGCCCTTCATCTTGCTTCCAACCTTTACATGAGCGAGTCCCATGCAAGGCAGAGAAAAGAAAAAGCTTACAAGTATCTTTAGTAGGGATTTACACAGATCAAGATGTAGAAGAGCAATAATTAATGTGCATTAATAATAGAACAGAAGAAACTGCACCTAAAATGCTACAAAACTTTTTGTATTCAAAGCCCAAGGAGCTCTGGGAAAGCTCAAGATGGCAGCTCAGGCAGCAGTCGTGCAGGCAGCCTAAGGTTACCCAAAACTGGGGGAGATCCCTGTGCCTGACCACGCAGACAAGGGGCTGCCTGAAAACACAGATGGCTCCACGCTCGAGCGTGGTAATAACCTACCAGAGAGACGAAGAGCAGTTACTGGGCCTTAAAATAGAAAAGAGAGCTGGGGGAAAAGTGAAGTGCTGCAGAACTAGAGGGAAAATTATCAAAACTACCTGCCACGTGGCTATCGGCATGCTCCGGGGTGTGCTGGAAGAAGGAGGCAGGCGGGAGCATGGAGAGCCGTAGCTGCGAGAGGGAATGGCAGAGAGGGAACAGGAGCTGCTGGGGCTCAGGGCTGAGCTGGGAAGTACAACTGCAATCCCTGCCTGGGAACGTGAGCTAAACCTCACAAGTGCAGAAGGGATTTTGCTAAAGAAATAAATAGATCCCTGCTCTACTGGCAGTACAGCCTGCACCCGAGAAGGAGCCACAAATGACGAGAAGGCAGCGCAAGGCCATCCACAGGGCCTCGGGGCTGCGGCCGGGGCCAGCCCTGAGGTAAAGGCTCACCCTGGGGGGTTTCATGGTGTCCCTCGGGGCCCATCCCCGGGGCCTCTGGGTGGCACTTGGGGCCCATTCCTGAGGTAAAGGCCCATCCCCGGGGCCTCTGGGTGGCACTTGGGGCCCATCCCTGAGGTAAAGGCCCATCCCTGGGGCCTCGGGGCGGCACTTGGGGCCCATCCCCGGGGCCTCGGGGCCCATCCCTGAGGTAAAGGCTCATCCCCGGGGCCTCAGGGCGGCACTTGGGGCCCATCCCTGAGGTAAAGGCCCATCCCCGGGGCCTCAGGGCGGCACTTGGGGTCCATCCCTGAGGTAAAGGCTCATCCCCGGGGCCTCAGGGCGGCACTTGGGGCCTTCCCTGAGGTAAAGGCCCATCCCCGGGGCCTCAGGGCAGCTCTCGGGGCCCATCCCTGAGGTAAAGGCCCATCCCCGGGGCCTCAGGGCGGCACTTGGGGCCCATCCCTGAGGTAAAGGCTCATCCCCAGGGCCTGGGGGCGGCACTTGGGGCCTTCCCTGAGGTAAAGGCCCATCCCTGGGGCCTCGGGGCGGCACTTGGGGTCCATCCCTGAGGTAAAGGCTCATGCCTGGGGGTGGCACTTGGGGCCCATCCGTGAGGTAAAGGCTCATCCCTGGGGCGTCGGGGCGGCACTTGGGGCCCATCCGTGAGGTAAAGGCTCATCCCTGGGGCCTGGGGGCGGCACTTGGGGCCTTCCCTGAGGTACCATTACGCCGCCACCCCCCCCGGCCCGCTTGGCCCGCGGCGTGGGCTCACCTCCTCGGTGGCGGCTGCGGCCGGCCGCTCGTCCTCCCGGGGGAAGAGCAGCAGCGCAGCGCTGAGGCCGGCGGCTCCCAGCGCCACCAGCGCCGCGGCGAACCTACAGGGACCGGAGCGGCTTCAGCACCGGGCCCGGCCCGATCCCCACCCTCCCGCCCTCCTTTCCCGCTGCTCACCGGGCCCGGCCGGCCGCACGGGAGAGCGCCAGGCAGAGCAGCAGCGCCGAGCCCCAGATCGCCTGCAGCACCAGCACGCCGGGCCCCACGCCCAACGCCGTGACCGCCATGCCGCCCCGCCGCTGCCGCTTCCCCCTAGCAACCGCGCCGCGCCGCCGCCGCCCAGCCAATCAGCGCCTCACGCCGCTCGCCCGGCACTTCCCATTGGCTGCAGCGCGGGATGCGGGGCGGGGCCGCTGCTTTTCCCGCGCCGCGGGAGGCGGGGCCGCGCCGACGGGTTCCGATCCCGATCCCGATCCCGATCCCAATCCCAATCCCAATCCCAATCCCAATCCCGGTCCGGAGCGGTGCTCCCGGTTCCCCGGCAATTTCCCCCCGCCCCGTTGCAGACGGATCGGTGCTTAGTTAACGCAGCATCGCTTGTTGCGGCGCCAGCCGCCTGCTGCGGGGAGCATCTCTGCTCGAGCAAGGTCTCAACCCTCAAAACCCGAAAGGTACCTGTCTTCACCTCCACAATACTTCACCTCCAAATGAAAGCCCAAATCAGGTGGATTTGGTTAATGCAAACACAGCTGGGTTTTGCACTGCTATGGGACAGCCACGCTGATGGCCGAGGGCCTCCAAGACAAGCCGAAGAGGTTTGTCAGTGCACCAAGCATCTTTTAATACCCAGACAAGGAGGATTTCCATTTTAAACCCATTTTTTTTTTCTGACTGTTTTTAAATCCTATTTCTTCCCCATCACATCTCACCCATCAGACTCTGGCCAGTGTGGTTTGGTGGGTGACTTTATGCCAGTACTCAGGGCTCATCTACCAGTTAACCTGAAAAAAATAAGTATGTTGATATATTCAGCTTTCCTCTCATCTGCTTGAAGTCTGATGATCTAACTGCATAAAATGTCATGTAACTGCTGTTTTCTTCCTGTCATTTCTTTCAATGGGAGGAATAAACCGGCGATTAATTATGCTGCGCAGCACCGACCTGCCTTTTCCTGCGATGGAATCAAAGTCACCAGTGTGACATCAACCAGTTCAGCAAGCAGAGCACAAACTGTCTCCGACACCTGCCTTTATTTGGCATCGAATAGGAACTGGCTGCCAACATATTAAAAGCGTATGTTTGATAGCAAACTCCTTCCCACACCATCTCATGCTGCTAATCCCATCAGAGAAGGTATTTTTTTCCCTGCAAACCCCACGTTGGCAATGTCCGTCTTCGCCAGCGTTTTTCCAACCCTTCTCTTCCATTATTCCCTGTGCTTCCTGCTTCTGTTGGCAATCAGAAATTGTAAATTTGTTTCTGTTGTTTGAGAATCTCTGCTTGCTTTTCTGTATTTTCCCATTTCTTTGTAAAACCCCAAATTTCTTCTTCATAGCCCTGTTTTCAAAGAGACCCTTCTCTTTCTGCCATTCCTCTTCCATCCTTTGCCTTTCCATCTAAAAGTGATAATTTTTGTCCATCAGCCAACAAGTCTTTTCCTTTACTAAAATTTCCCTTCTGTCATTTAGCTGTGGCTTTTACAATGACATCTTTAACCCATTCCCATTTGTTGTATCCAGTACAATCAGACTGATGGTAACTCAGGCACTAAGATCTGGAGTTGAAATGATGCCCAGCAGTCCAACACACTCCAAAATATCCCTATAATATTTATTTATATGGCACATATAAATTGCAGCAGGGCTATTGTTTTTTTTTTTTTTGAGCACAACAGAGGCAAATCGTAAATCCACAGCTAAGGAACTGGGAGAAGGTAACCAGGAAAACCAACCTCATCAGTGTGATATTTCCAAGCACAACCTTCCTTAGAAGTTTCTTCAACCCATCTGCAATGAAACACAGCATCCTAAACGTCCTCCTCTCTTATCTCAGCCTCTCCCCTTCTCTCAGAAATGCCTTGGTGGGGGTTTGCCTTATGGGACTGCTCCAGCAGCTGGTCAGTTGAATGCAAAGATTAGATTTTATGGCCGAAGAATAATTTACTGCTATCCTAAAATTAGCTTTTTTTTTTTTTTTTCTCAGCTTTTACCCACTAGCATCTGGTATCATTTACTCCTTGTGTCAGAGTTGCGTGGCACCTTTTAAAAAAAACCAACCAACCAACCAAAAAAACAACAGTAAAGGGGGGAAAAGTAATGCTGAATATAAAATGTGAATTTTAAAATGTAGTAAAGCAGCAGAAATTGAGAATTTTTGCATTGTTTGCTGCGATTGCATGAGTCTGGGAGAAACTTCATATTTGTGGTGGTTTTTCCCAGGATAACAGCTCACGTGGGGACGTCTGCAGATCTGAGTTTTACCGAGACTTTTGACTTGCATCCAAAGCCTGGCTCTGATCAAGATGCATCAAAACAATGACAAATGATGTGGTAACGATTAATTTCAGGTCCAACATATTTGATATCAATAATCTAGGTACCGTAAAGCCTTTACTGGCAAGGCTCTCAAGCAATACCACATTTTATGCGGTAAATAAGAAGCAGAGTCATCCGGATGCTGTTAGATGCTCACATCCCAGCAAAACCCAGTGCAAAGGATTTATTTGGACACCGATGGATGCGAGACGCTGTCCTGTCCTGGAGTGATTTGCAGGATACTTCATTGCCATGGGTGGATTTTCCCAGGTAAAAGATGATGGGGTTGAAGAATTTCTTGGCAAAGGCGTGAAAAAGATCCTGATGTAGGAATTAGACAAAATAGCCTTGGCAAAGAGATGCAATTAGTGTTGAGGCTAATTAAATGCATGGCCCAGGAGGATGGAGAGGTCACCTTCCTTCAAGGTCTGCAAGGCAGGATCACATGGAGCAAAGCTCTTTTGTAAGACACCGCTCGAGGAGCAGCCCCTGGAAATGGTGTGGGTTTGGGTCAAGATGGTCTTGTTTGGGTTAAAAACTGAAAATCCATCATGCCCAGCTCATGCCGGTGGCCAACATGACCAACATGGTCTAATAAAAAAATGATATTAAATGATCAAACTCTTGGTGGCAGAGTTGGAAGTGCTGGGGGAATTGATTTAAAACTCTTTGTGCAGTCGTAAAACTTGAAGTTTTACAGCTGGAGCTCCCCGATGCTCAAATATTAGAATTAAAAAGAAACAGGTGTTGATGCAAGCAAGAAAATATTCCGCTCCTGATTTAAAGACTAGCAAATTGCTAAATATTTTTATTAGTGGCAAATTTGCAGCTTGCTGGAACTAATTTCACGCCCGGTAGATATGGAGCTTAAGCTGGGGATGGCGTTAAATTACTCTCTTGTAAAGGTATTTAAGCCTTATGATGGGGATGCCGTTAGATGGTGGGGATCTGGCTGGGGACCCCCTTTTTGGGGTGACTCCTTGTGGGTTGGGAGCCCAGGGATGATGGCCGGGGAAAGCTGAGCTCTTGCAGCATTAGTATAAACCCATCGTTTCCCCTCCCAGGTACGATAGGAACCACCAACCCCCCTCATTTGCATAAATTTGCTTACAGAGGTTTACTGCAAACTGGTGCAGGAGTGGGATGGTCATGGGGCCCTGGGATCCTCCAGCATGGAAAGATGCTATTTATATTTTAGGGGTATTTCTAGCATATTTTGGAGATTATGTAGGATATTCAGGGTTTAGTTGATTTAATTAATTTTTAAATTTATTTAATTGATTTGAAAAATTTATTTAGTTGATTTCAATTGCTTTTTAAATTTACAATATTCCAGGTTTAAATGATTTAAGAGATGAGTAAAGGTGAACACTGCTGGATCCTTGAGTGCCAGTCTCCCTCTGTGCCAATTATTTCCACGTCTTCTTTGTTGGCTGGAGATTTTACACCTTGAAGATGGTTTTCCAGCCCAAATCCCTCAGTCCTCCTTCTGCAAAGCCTCTGGGTGCACCAGTAACCTTCTTTTTTAATACAATGGGCAACATCCATCCTGTATTGGTTTGCCCAGATACAAACTGGGACAGGTGCAGGGACGGGGTTGGAGGATGTGGAGCCTGGGAAAGCAAAGCGAAGGCGTTGAGAGGATCTAATTACCCTCTAAAAATACTTCTGGGAGGGTGGTAGTGGTAAACAAGAGCTATTTAAATCCCCTGGTCCACTCTATGTGATAGAAATACATGAAGTTAAATAGTTCTCTCTGACTTCTTGGAGGATGTGTATGGCCAAGAAGTTCTAAGTTGCCCTTTTCCAAAGAGAAATCCCTAAGAAAAGAAAAGTTAAAATAATAGGAGAGGGTTTGTAATGGCTCCAGTGGGGATACAGCTCTCTCTCGCAGGAACCCACTTTGGATTATCTTTCTCTTGCTGATGGCGGAAATCAATTTTAATCGTCCTGACGGGAAATGAGGATGTAAGACTTCAAACAGAACAAATACTGCAACATTCAAAAAAAATAAAGTGGGATATGAAGTCACTTTTAAAATGAAAAAAATCCCACCCCAGCAAGAGGAGATGCCTCTAAAAGCCCTGAATGGCCCTGGTTGGTGGGAGGTGGAGCAGCAAAAGCATTTCCCATGGTGGGACAAGTCCAAACCTAACCGAGAAGCACTTGGATGGAGGAAGACGGGGTGTCTCTGTCATCACCTGTTTTGGTTCAAAATGCTCCCAAATGGGAGGAAGTTGGTTGGTTTTTGGTTTTGGTGGCTTTTTATATTAAATGCAATTTTAATTCAGGCCAGTAAATTTGTACATCAATACAAATAAGACTTTTTGCTACTTGGCTCCCTGAACTTCAAGCAACTGCAGAGTGATTTCCCTAAAAAATCCTGTAGTCATCTTCTGGGTATGTTTAAATGTCATCATGCGCATAGAGGGTGACATTTCCCCATGGGATCAACACCCCTGGGTGATATCATGACAAAATCTGATCCAGTCAAAGAGAGGAAGGAGGAGAGAAATTACCTGAGAGACTTGAATGACATTGTAGAACCCTCCCTGGGTGCTGCAAGTGATGGAGCAGAGGCAAAGGTAAAGGAAGGAAGCAAAGAACTGATTGAAAACAAATATAAGAAGGTTGAGGAGAAAAAGAAAGGCAAGAACAGGGTCTGGGAAGATGCTAAAAATTAAAAGTTGCATTTATAATGGCATTCCCAAAGATGCTAAAGTTCACGGTGAGGTGTTTTTCCAATAAGCTTCTATTTTCCATGTTTCCC